CTAAAACCTCTCCTAAACATAGACCATGGGGGAGGTGAGCCGGCTGATAACAAGACAAAACAAAGCTTCACTCTCAGACTCAGTCCTGGAAGCACAGGACATAATACCAAACATAATCAGGACACACGATTGGAGATAGAAACACCATAACATCACCCTAGGACAAAGTCTTACCTACAGGTTGTATAATGAAGTGGGAGTTATATGTAGGCTGTCAGATGTAGCCATGAAAATGGTAAAGGTTTGGTGTCCTAAAACTACTTAACATGGTTGAAACTTTGCCGGGTCTTGTGCTCCAGACGAGGATGTCTAAAGGCCAAGCAAGCTTTTCCTTGGCACTGCAGAACCTGAGAGCCCTCAGCTGTGGCAGAATTTGGGCCACAGAGCCACCTTTTAGGTCCTTTCCTGGCATGACCCTCATCCTAGCCACAATGCAGGCAGCACGCAGAAATCACCTCCCATGAAACCTTCACCCTCTGTTGCTCGTGCTCTCTCTGCACTCCTACTCAGAACTGCCAAATCTGCCCTCAGCACCCTGCTCCTGTTAGGGGAGAGATGCACAAATGCTCAAAATCAATACTACCATGTTCTGACTGAGAGGGAAAAGCAGTCACAGGCTTCCTGGTACTTGCTTACAAGACTGTCCTGTGGATCTGTTTACTGGGAAGCTTATGGAGACAGCATTGCATGTATTGCCAGGATGATAAAGCCCGTACTTCCCCCTCCACAAAAAAAAATAAAAATCCACCTTTGCTGAAGTTCATGGCTCCTGCCATGGAGACTTTCAAGGTATCTTCTCACAGACTTGAACCAGGCTCTGTTGTGTAAATATTTCAATTCTGCTGTGTCACTGCCTTTGCTAAAAGCACATCTTTTTCTTTCATTTTATTCCTCATTCTGCAGGCTATTCTTTTTGCTTACCCTGTCTCTAACACTGCTTTCTACTCGTCGGAAGTAAAAAGAAATTTTCCAGAAATTTAAACCGTTTTGAACTTGCCTCACCCATTTGTATATTCCAAAACCTTCCAGATCAGTATCTAATGGTTGCTTGAAACTCTGATGTCTTTTTATCCTAGCATTCACTATCTGGCAGAGGCACTTTTATCTGCTCTAATTCTCACTGCTGTTTTCTGTCGGTTTTCTTCCAAAACATCTCTACATCACAGCATCAAGAGAGGCTATCAGGCTGTAGTGATCCCTGTGACTCCTGCAAGGAAAGATTCCACAGCTTCTGTAGCACCGTGCTGTTTCCATTGAGGGGGATGGACAGCTGAGAGAAATTTTTTCAGTGTCCAGTTACTGTGTAATTGCCCTGGCTCTGATGTACCTACAGAGGTTACAGAGGATGCAGAGCACCTGATGGGTTTGACTTCAAACCTAGGGCTTGGCAAAAAAAAAGTCTTCAAGGACAGCTCTTACCTGCAGAATTATGACTTTCCTGGCCTTATTATGTATTTTGGCTTCAAAAGAGGACAGTGTCTTGAGCATACCAGAGACACAGCTCTTCCCAAAGCATTGTTAAAATGCAGGTATTTCATCCCATGTGAAGAGGAAGGCAATGAGTAATGTTTCTAGAGGGAAAAGATAATGAAATTGGCAGCCTGTGTTACACATTCCCAGTAGTCTCTACACCTTGGTGTCCAAACAGGGGGGTTAGAAAAATAAAGACAGATGGCAATGGTATCGCTCAGCCCACCGAGGTGTAAAGATGGGATACAGAGACCTAGGGAAAAGAAATCGGACAAGAAAATAATGAGCACTAGAAGTCTCAAATGCTGTACACTTACTGCAAATATTAGTCGTATTTCAGGCATGGCACCACTTCTGCAGCCTCTCCTGCATAAGTGCACAGATCTGCACTTATGGTATCTGCAACAAACAGCAAGGTGATGGCAGCAAAGCAGGGTGAGCAGAAACCCATCGTGAAAGGATCTTGTACAAAGTGACACCAGTGCCAGCAATAGCATAATGCCCCTTTATTATATGGCTATCAGCACCAAAGAGCTGGTGCACCCCTCCAGCCCTAAAAATAGTGTGTAAGCAGGCAACACCTCTAGTTCTCATTCCCTGGGCATACTAGCCCTGTGCAGTGAGCCTAGGAGAATGAAGTGAGGGTACCACAACAGGCCCTGATGCTCACCCAGGCACCTTGGAGTCCTTACGGCAGAGCCAAAATCGAACATGCCTACAAGGTTGCTTTCTTCTCATTTGGATTTAATTTTATAGCCTGGCACAGAAAGGAAATGTGAAGAAATATACTGACATATCTACATGACTTCAACACTGTATGACAAGAGAAAGTGGAATTTTGAATGTCATATTAATTTTGGCTTATGCTGACATGTTTACTTGTGGTAGAGGCGTTACATCAGAACAGTATTTTGAAATCAAGTGCTGCAACACCGGTAGGTAAAATGAAGTAATTTCAGAGCAAATCCACAGTCTTACTTCAAAAGTAGCTTGATTCGGTGGATGTCACAAGGAAAAACCTGAATCCTAATGCTGTTTTTCAGTTCTCCCTGCTAGAAAATCTCAAACACTTCAGCAGCACATACTGCATTAAGATAAATTTCTGGGCCCAGGAAACTCACACAATTACTATTTTGTGTGCAAAATGCAGCTCATTGAAGAATTCCAAATCCTTCTAAGGGAACATGGTTCCCCCACACAGGACTCAGCACCCACTCCCCCACTCTAAATCCAAACTTTGAATGCCTTGAGACAGAACAACAATGCCTTGGAAAACTCCTGCTTCTATGGTGTTCACTGACAAGACGTCTGACCTAATTCACCAGCAGCTTGCTCAGCACTGCAACCATCAAGTTTGCCTTTCTCTTACCCCCTGGGAAGCCAAGGAAGAGATGAAAAGACTTTGCAAAGGAAAGAACCTGATGGAGGCCAATGGAGCCTTCTGGCCAGGAAGATGATTTCTTTTCTACAAGCAAGGAGCGCAAGTAAGAGGACAAAATGTAGGAACCACTAAAACAATGAGGCTGGTCATTAGTGCAACCTGTCTTTCTACTTGACCTTTCCTTCTGAACACCTTGGTCAGCTGAGCCACACCACCAAGACAGAATGAAAACTGTCACAACACCCTGCTTCCCAAGGTGGATGGATCCTCTCTTGATGGGATGGGACAACCTTCTCAGGACTGTGTTCCCCCCTTGCTGCCAGTCCCTGTTACAGACATGTGCACCATGAGAGCACAGCAATAGCTCTCAGGCAGGAGAGAGCGTGAACTCTTTTTCTGTAATAAAGTGGTTGCTATAATAACATAATTAGAGCAGTATTCTCCAGGCAGCCCGGAGTGGTTTTGCTTGTTTGTTTCTCTTATATAAATTGAAATGTATTTCAACTTTAGGATTTCATTTCCCCCACACACTCCTGCAGCATTTACAGCTAAATACAAGAGGGGAAGGATAAACCTGAGCTGGGAAATCTGGCTTGAAGAGATTCATGCCTGACAATGAGCCACAAAATATGGGCATTCAGTCCTTGTGGAACACTGACACAGCTCCTGTACCCCAATGGACTATTTTAATCTTAGGTATCACCTCTCTCTAGGTTCACACATTTGTCCAGACCCCTCTCCTGCCCTCCTAGGGAGCTGTAGTAAGAGGTATAGGACATGTGAGAGACAAAACTAACTTAGATATTCCTACCTTGCATAATCAAAGAGCGTGTTGAAGGTAAGATATGCACAGCAACCCATGGGGAAAGAAGTCCTACTTTCACCCGGCCGTGATGAAGGATAGGTTTTGCGTCACTTCTTTGCTTGCTTTCTCTCTTCTTTTACTTCTTTCTCACTTATTGAACAATAACTGCTTTGGTTTGGTTTTACCTTGACACCCAAGTTTTCTTGCTTTTACTCTCTCCTCTTCCCCTGTCTCACTGGGGAGGAAAGGGAGGAAGGAAAGCAGGTGAGCAGCTATGTGATGCTTAGCTGTGCACTGGGTTTAACCCACAATAGGAGTCCACTCTATAAAAAAGGGATTCGTTTGTCTGGTTTTGGCAGAGAGATGGGGCACACTGAGGGAGGTTTTTATATCACGTCTGATTTTGGCATTTTTCTAATGTTTTATTCAGCTGACTTAATGTCAAGAGCAGCCAACAGAGAAAATGACAGTTTGGGGTGCCCTTTTGGGGATTCCTGATACAAGGTCGTATTGGCATCCTCTTCTTTAGGGAACGTGACACGCTGGCCCACATGACCACGCCCAAAGAAATGCTCTCCAATGTGGTGCAAGCTCTGCAATACCTGGATTCCCACCTTCCAAATGGTAGCCATGTGATTTTAACAGGCTTGGTAGATGGTCGCTTCCTCTGGGATAACCTGCATGACAGATACCATCCTCTAGGTAAATTTGAGGTGTTGTGGGGTTCCTCCTGGTTATGTGCCCATTCATGTTGCCTTCTCTCCCTAAAAAAATCTATGAATCTATTGATGACTTCAAGCAAACCTGACAGAGTGGAGGAGATATGAGAAATATGAAGCAGATATTGGCTGTGCTGCAGATGTGGGAATGACAGCTCTTACCATGCCCAGTGCAGGACAGGTTAGAACCCTATTCTGGTTCTCTGTTTCCCCCACCAGCCATACCCACCCAGCTCCAAACCAGGTTCAACACATGCTGTGGTAGTGTAAACAAGCTGTTCTACCCCAATCTTGGCCCAAAATTGTGGTCATCCTGATTGTTGTTACAGGTGGAGGTGGGTATTTGGTTTGCACTTACTGACTGGTGGATGTTGTGGTAAAACTGGATGTGGACCAAGACAGAAGATTAAGTCCGAGGGTTGCAAAAGACTTTTTTTATATTAGAGAAATAAATTTTCTGCCAGTGCTGGGTGCCTAGCACCTCCTACACTATTGTGCAGGCATATTTTGGGACGTTTCCTCAGAGTGTGAAGTGCTTTGGGGCATTTTTTTCAGAGATTTGGAGGCTGCCTTTTGGAGCCTGTCATCTCAGGGTGTGAATGACACAGTACCTCTGACCATTAACAGACCACTCATTCCTTGGCTTTCTAGACCAAAAGCATGTATTTACTTGTATTTGAGTAAAATAATCTTTTTTGCATCTGACAAGCAGGAAGTTGTTGTCATAATAGTTCTCTTCAGGAAAGAGAGAGAGAAGCTAAATCATATCATTAAAATGGTAGATTACAATGTCAGATGATTTTGGCAACCACTGGGTAACACAGCTTGCAGCTGTGCTGTGGTTTCCCCAAGGTTCCCTAGTAATTACCAAGGGGAAAGAAATCTTCCCCATTTCTATTCCTATATTTTTGTCTTGTAAGCACTATACTAGTATCAATGGGAAAAAAAAAAAAAAAAAAAAAAGGAAAAATCTTATCCCTTTCAGGGCAGGGGAAACCTGTCAGAATTAATTTTTAGTCACATAAACCCATGTCTTCCCTTGAATGCATGCTTATCACAGCAACAGTTCCCCTAACTAGCTGGGTATCTAATTATCACAGACAACATACAGCCAAATCAGGAGTGGTTAACTATAGGATCAGTTGGAAAATTTTCAGAGGGGCTGATTTGCCTTAGAGGGACCCAATTAATTCTAAGCAATAAGGGATCCCTTCTGGCACATCTTCCAACAGGCTGTGAGCAGGTTTCCCCATTTGGCTGCCAGTCAGCTGTGACCAGCCATCAGTCTGTCTTTCTGCCACATCCCTGGTCCCCACAACAGCCCATCCTAGGGCCTCATGCTTCAAACTACAGGAATATGGAACATCCAAATAGCCAGAACTGTTCCTAGATCTTTGAAATCCCCACCTTTTGCTTTCTGGGCAGCTGAAACTCCTGCTGGGTGATGGGTAGCTTTGTGAAAGGCAGGAAACACATTTGTTTCAGGGAGCCACTGCAAAGCAACCTGAGAAGCTCTTTTCACTTGGGAGAGATTATGCTGTGCAGTTCCTAAAAACAACAATAAGAAATTCCTATTTTGTTACTCAAAAAGTATTAAAGCCTGATGGGATGATCAGTGTACTACAAACAATAATACAACTAATAAAAAAAATGTGGCCATTTAATTCCCATCTTAGTTGTAGTTACCAGAGGAGCAAAAAGATTGAGAAAATGGATAATTTTCTCAGCATGCCAAGCTATTGCACAGCACAGTGAATTTTAGGGAATGTTAGCTATGTGTTTGACTTGGTAACTGAATTTCCTCACCCACACAAGCATATCAACTTCGCTCCATAACAGCAAAATTGTTTACCCTTTTAAGGCCAATCTCTGCAAAGTAAATGCTAAACTCAGAGTATATACAGGCACCCCTCAGCTTTGCAAACCCTGCATTTCTTTGGTGGGTGAGAGACAGGTTAATGGGAAAATAGGAGGTAGGCATAGGCTGTGATGACTAACCCCACACAGGAAATAAATCACCTATGAAAGGCAGGAGAGGGATGTGGGAGAAGCAAGTGTGGGGACATGGGCACCTTAGCAGGAAGGATGCCTTGATGGTGGTGGGAGGGTACCCTCGGGGTAGGGGGTGTGGTGGGCCTCTTGGGGTGCCTCTTCCCACCCAGGGGTATAAGGCATGGGAATGCACAGATGTGCAGAATGAAGTCATATTTGATCATTGGGCACATATTTGGCTCTCTGTGCTTTGCAGGACAACTGAACAAGGATGTCACATACAGTCAACTCTACACTTTCCTCGACTGCCTCCAGGTATAATCTGCAGCTGTAGCTTAGGAGCATCCCCTTTCATATTGGTCCTTGTCTAAAACCCCTCTCCTCATGCCTGCCCAGGTGAGCCCCTGCAGCGGCTGGCTGACACCCAATGAGACCCTCAGGAATCTGACCTCAGAGGTAAGTCTTAATGGGACTGCAATGGGATCACCCCAGTGCTCAGACACTCTGCCCTGTGTCTGAGTTCTCGAAGCCTAATTGCCTCAAAGGCAAGACATCAGAACATTTTTTGTTCCCAAAGGCAAGGAGAGGTTGTGGAAACATCCACGTTTATTCTTTCAAATCCCTCTCAGGCTCTGGGAGGCAGCTTGCTCAAGTTAAGGGATTTGTGAAGGTATTACTCAATGCCAATGCTCAAGGGATGCGATCTCCCCAAGACAAAACTGTTTGGATTCATGTTCTTTAAGAAGAAAATGTGCCTGATAAGAAGGGAAAGGCTTTTGAATCAAGTGAGCTGTTGGTATGACAAGACAGCTGCATAGATTTTTCTGGCGGTGGGATCAGGTCCTGAGAGCAAGAGCCTTATCCTTTTTTCATTTGGGATTTATGCTAATCTTCCTCAGACACATTTCTGTGGGCTTAATCACCAGATGGTGTGACCAGGGAGCATCCAGGCTCAGTGCAGGAATGGGAACAGACAGAACAGAGATGTCTTAAAACTCACCCTAAAAATCTGGCTGCAGAAGTGAATGACACATAATAACAGCCACTTATTTTCTTATGGTCCAAGCTGATTTTTAATCCCAGCAATCCCCTGAAGCCATGTAAAAGGAGCCAGTAACCAAATATTATCAAAGGTGTCGTCTCTGTGTATAGTTGTATTAATGTTAGAATTCACTAAACAGCAAAATATGACCTTGATTTCATCAAAGCTTACATATGTATTTCATTTTATGCCCTGTCTCTCTTGACTTCAGAGAAGGCCATTAAGCAAATTCCTAAACCTTTGCAGGATTGCAGCTTATATATTCATACCAACAATACAGAACATAGAGTACATGTAACTTCTGGCCATGAACAATGCATATGTCTGCAGGGTATGCATTAATCATTCTGAGCCCCTGTCTGAAACTAATTGTATATGTTATTATCCAAACTCCACAATTATGATCTCTGTTATGGCTGCAGAAATTACATGGGATGTATCAGTTAGGCAGACACTCAGTGGTGGTAATTTACTCTTCTGAAAGTAAGAGTGGAATTTGGTCAGCACAGATAAGCATTATCACCCCCAACTTAGTAGTAGCAATGATAATAGGAAAAGAGGACATTTCTCTTGTAGAAAAGTTTTGCATTTCTTTAAGAAAGAGCTCCAAAAGTGAGAAACTTATATAAATAAGTGTAGGGACACTACTAAAAGAGGTCTCCAGTGAAATAAGCATATGCTGTAATAAACTTATAAAATCAGCTGAGGCCCCAGTGCAGCCTGTGAGGATGAACTGGGTAGTCCAATGGCTGGTGGTGCTCATGCAAGTCCATGTTCTTATGACGAGCCTCATTTTATCTCCGGTCCCCCAGTTGAAAGGGCAACATTAGCTTTCAAATCCCTGCCTGCACATTAGTGAAAAAAGTTGAATCCATGCAAAGCAACATGAATAGCAATGAACAGTCATTAAATAGTTTGATTTTTGCAGAGAGCATTACAACTTTCCAATGTCCTGAAAGAAATAGCAAGATCTGAGAAATTTGCCAACTTTGATATTTTCTACATGGATTTCCCACTGAGACAAAGTAAGTTGGTTTTTACCCTGTCCTTCTCACAAAGCATTTATTCAAGTTCTGGCCTGCTGGTGTGCTGCTTATATTTTGATTCTGTACCAGGAGAAGTATGGTCAGCCAGCCTAGGTGACCCTGCTGTCAGGGCTGCAGCCAAGGAAGTATCCTTAATGCCAGCTTCTCCTGGCTTCCATGGTTAGGGTGACCAGGCACATTTCCTGAGACAAGATGCCACCACCTCCTTGTGGTTCCTTGGGAACCACAGCCTCCCCGCTGGTCCCAGCTGCTGGCACCCACAACCCCAGTGATGCACAGCACACTGGCCACTTGCTCTTGGGTAGCAAGGTGACAAGGACAACAGACGTGCCTCTGATAAAAAGCAGCTTCTCAGGCTGATGAAGACAAAAAAGAAATCTCAGCTCAAATTGGTCCTTAATATTTGGTTTTACTTTTGAACATTGCTTTTAAAGCAGGTTATCTAGGCTAGAGATGCATACCTGCAATAGTCAAAGTGGTCTTCATGAGATGTAGTTTACTTCATCACTGACTGGCTTCAAGGCTAAGCAGTGCCTTGGGAAAGAGATCTTTTCATCAGCCATTTTCCTGCCTCAGCAACACAGTCCTCTCACTATTCCCGAAAGTAGAAGCACCTGTCCCATGAATAACTGGCATCTTTCCTATGTTTCTTTAAACACCTACATACTAGTGTAACTTTTGAGTTTAAGAGGTTACAAAACTTCTCTTTCTGTGATCTTTAGTGACATTAAGTAGGCGCATTACCTAAATCACTTTCTTCTGTAACTGACACTTAAAAATAAATTAAAACATCCAGAAAACTTTTGTTGTTAAGCATGAGCGTGAGCAGACAATGTCCCTGTGGGGCTGAAGACCAACACCTGTCCCTGAATCCCTCTCAGCTCTGCTTGCCTTGCAAGATGCATAGGGTGTTGAGTTCCATCGGCGTGGGATCTGAGACAGAAAAATCCCACACTGTGATCCATGTGACAAAAGCCTTTATTCAGTTTTGACGTCGCTTTTTATACCCCTTTCAATGTTCCCTGGCAAGCGTCTGTGATTGGCTCACAGATCAGGCTGCCCAGCCCTCTGACCAATAGCTGTCTGCAGCCAGGGCTGGAACTCATTGGATTAAATCCTTGTCTGTCTCTAATCTTGTCCTGTCTCTGTTCTTTGGGGGCTGGCCTTTTAAACCAGGCTGTTTATCCAATCAGTAGTCAGATTAACTGCCCAGTACAAGCCAGCTTGCACTGTGACAATTCCCCACTTCTTTTTCATTAATTTGAAGAAAAATTTTGAAACACAGATGTGCAGCTTGTTCTCTGCAATCTTGCCTGCAAGGGCCCTTTTGCATGCAAAATCACATTAACAGCATTTATTCAATTGGAATGGGGTTTTACCTAGCTTAATAAATTTGGCTTTTTTGGATAGTGATGAGTTCCACATACTAGAAGCCGCAGGGCTTTTGTTCAGGGGCAGTCAGGTGAATTAAACACTTTTGGTTTCACATGTAAACAATTTAACTGTTTAACAGCAATGTAACTTAACTCTATAACCATGAAACTTTAAACTTTTCTTTTGAAATTATAACCTAGTATAACATTCAGTTTTAGAACTGTGCAAAAGTCCAACTTGATAAAACAATTTGTAAACATTAAAACATTTTGTAAACAAACAACTCTGTTATTTCAGTGTCCCATAACCCTGTGAGGTAGGTGCAATTTCTGTCATTTACTTACTTAACCAATGATACATGAGCTTTTGAGGTCTAATAGATGATCTGGGATTTTCACTCAGGCACTTTGCCTGCTTAACAGGCTGGCTGGGTTTCCAATTCTATCTTTTAGAAAAATTGCAATATTTACTGCCATAAATCCTTTAAATTTAAATTTTTTTAATTGAATTTTATAAGCTTAGTATTCCAAATTATGGATGTGCTTGATGTATCATTGGAGTTGTGTTGTTTTTATTTAGAAAACTGTTAACATAATTTTCAGCTTGACATGCTACAGGCTCAATGCTTAATAACTACAGTGTTACAATTCAACATTAAACAAGAACCACTTAGTTCTAAATCATTAACATTTTTTTAAAAACAAGAAACCGTTTAACTTAAAACCATTTCAAATAAAAACATATGTATTTCCTTTATTCCTTACTCCCCTTTCTTTGTTTTATTTAAAAAACAATACACTAGATAACTTGAAACTCTTTTAATTAAGAAAATACGTATTTTCTATCCTTTCTCCCCCTGTTTTGTTTTTAGAATTCAAAACAAGAAGCAAAACATACACCTTTAAATTATTTTTATGTGGTGAGAAATACAATTACTGACACGTTATAATCCAATTTTAGTGTTTAATACTGTTGAAGAGTTTTCCTTTAAATGATAACTTAGGAGAATCTTTTCTGGATAAGATTCTTCATGTTTATCCCAAAGGAAGGAATTTTTGCTTTAGCAAGGCTAAATTCGATAGTCAAAATGATTTCATTTTAAACTCAGAAACATTCGGATTTTATAATTTTCTCTCCTTGTCAGTCAAATTCCAATTTGGCCACAATTGAAATAGACTGAGAAGGTTTTGATGATGCACATTTTCTTTTGCATAGTTAAAATCCCAACATGGCCAGAGTTGAGACTTTAGACTAGGCAAAATTTTTTATTATATTTTAAAACAAACCTTTGATAAATTTTAAACATTGTAAACTGAAGTGACAAGAGGAATATACTTTAGAAATTTTGCAACTGTGATTTGCTAATGAAATACCTTTTACTAACTGATCCATAGAAATTTGTTTTGTAGAACTTAGAGTAAGCAAGAATTTCAATTCTTAAGATAGCTGATTGAGTATGATGCTATTGCAATGTATATGAATAAAGTTAGCAAACATTCAACTGTGAACATCAATACACACTTTAAAATTTGTAGACTATATTTGCAACTCTGATAAAATATTCCTTTAGCAACTGTAAGAAAACAGGTTAACAAGGCAAATATCAACTTAGTAAAACTTGCAAGATATGCAGACTTTGCTAAAATCAAGCTGGAGGTGGATGAAGCAGCTGTTGAGCTCTGCTGAAGGTGAACATTGCTGGTTGCATTGCCACGATTGACTAGGTTTTTTAATCTTCATTTTTAATGTTCTGGGTTTTCCACCTTGAATACAAGGTGAATTGAGGTTACTTTGTCCTCTAGCCTTCTTTTGTAAGGCAGGAATTTTGGGACAGTTTGCTTTCATGTGGCTATGTTGTCTCCGATGGAGGCGATGTGCTCTCAGCCTTACTGCAGTTGTAATAGAATTAACTAACATTTCTATGTCCAGAGCTGCAGTCCCAAATTTTGCACATGCATTAATCATTTCTTCTAATGATGGATTTTCTTTGGGCAATGCACTTATAATTTTTCTACAGTCTTCATTTGCATTATTTTGCGCTAATTGTAACAATACTAGATTTTTTGCATCATTATTATCTACTTCCTTTTCTATGGTATCTTGCAATCGCTCTATGAACTGTCTATATGGTTCATTTGGGTTTTGTTTTATGTTTCTATATCCTGGGGTTGGCTCAGACATGTTTGTAACCTTATTTAGGTCTCTCATTCCTAGTTCTTTTGCCTGGTTTAGTATCACAGAATTTAAGCATGCTTGGGTCTGAGGATCTTCCATGGGACGTACTCCTAACAACTGGGGAACTCATACCCCAAAGCACGGATCTTGCTGTGATAATCTCGAGTTTTGCAACTCTTGCTCCTCTACATATATTATTCTCCAGGTTGATTCAAATATTGTATACTGTAGTGGAGTACAGAGTAACTTTGCAATTTGCTTCATATCATAGGGTGTTAGTTCACTATCAGTTACGAGTTTAAGCATATTAATCACAGCAGGGGATCCCATCCCATGCTTAGCAGCTAACTGGCGTAGCTCTAAAATGATTTGCCAATTGAAAGGTACATGTTGATTAGGTGTTGTTCAATTACTAACTGGGAAAGCCTCAACTGTCCCATTCCCCTGTTACCGGCTGCCTGGTGCTGATAAATTCATTGGCACAGAAATTAATACAGCAGTTTCTATACCCCCACATTATATCGCCTTTTGTTTTACCTCTGACCAGAAGATTACCGGGTCCCTGGAAGAAACAACCTGTGATTTAAACATTAGCGGGGCTGGAGCTGCTGTTTGAAGGTTGGCTGCTGAGATGCAGCTTGTGTCCTTTCCCTGGATGTGTTGGCTGTTCTTCTGTGCAGAGACCTCTTGGAGCTGTTCCGTGCTTGGCTCCTGGTGTGGAGAAACTGTGGGTGCTGTATCTCCAGCAAGATCGGGGCTGATTCTCAGTTCTGAAATCGTTTTCGGGGCTTTGGTGCTGGCATTTCTCAGTTCCGATGCACTTCCATGTTTTTCTTGTGTCTCTCCTGGTGTGACGTCATCATGGCACGCTTGGTGTCTGGGCTCGGTGGGGGTCTCCATGGCGACTCGGGGTGGCACCACGCCCTCTTGTCGGGGCAGAGACACGCCCTCTGGAGGCTGGGCTGGGGCTGAAACCCCTCCCCACAGAGGCAGGGCTGCTCCGGGCCGATGCACAGGTCAGGACTCCGCCTTCCTGAGGTTGGACCAAGACCGCGGGAACCTCCCCCCAAGGCGTGGTTGGAGCTGGAGGCACGTCCCACCAGGGCTGGGTTTGGGGCAAAGGCGCGCCCCCCCCCCCAGGGCTGGGTTTGTGGTGGAAGTACGTCCCACAAGGGAGGCTGTGTTTCCTTTCTCCCTCCCCTGGCAATGTGGCCACTGCCATTTTGGTATTGTTCTCGGATGTCTCAGGCAGCAGTTTGGGGTGTTTTTAGAGTCTCTGGCCTGACAACTGAGGAATTACCAGCCAGTAAAGTCTCTCTGCATGGAGTAAGTACCTTTTCTTCCATGCTTTCGCTGGATAAATCAGCTTTTATCTCTTTTATCAGCTTTAAGGTATTTTTCCAAGGCTTTAAAGCTCTAATTGCATTTTTTATCATTTTTTAAGGCAGCATTTAGTATTTCTTCTCCAATTTTAGTCCAATAGTCTATATTTAATGCAGTTTCTACAGTCGGTTCCACCCCCTTTTCTTTTGTCCATAGTATTAAATCAAAAAGAATTCTTTTTCATATTCAATTTCCCAGTCCTCCAAAAACTCTGTCCATACCTCTATCACTGGATGTGTGTTTGTAGAAAAGAAGCTCCCCATGGTTTTCTTGTAGCTTTTCGGCTGAAGTTTTCCTTCATCTCTAGGACGCTCTGGCTGTGGTCAGTTCCTGTCACCTCTCTTTTTTGGGCGTCTTTCTTGTCTTTTGGACGTATTCCTGACTCTGGCCAGTGTTTTCCCTGCCTCCTGGGCAGCACCCGTCTTTATCAGATGGCCCTGGCTTTTTGCCAGCCTTTCTCTGCCTCTTGGGCAGTTCTCTGGCTCTCGGCCAGAATTCCCCATCTCTGTGGATGGCCCTGGCTCTTGGCCAGTATCTACAGTCTCAAGGATGGCCTGTCTCCCCCGCTCGCAGCGGTATGGCTATGCCAGATCACGTCGGGGTCACCAGATGTTGAGTTCGATCGGCATGGGATCTGAGACAGAAAAATCTCACACTCTATGATCCATGTACAAAAGCCTTTATTCAGTTTTGACGTCGCTTTTTATACCCCTTTCAATGTTCCCAGGCAAGCATCTGTGATTGGCACACAGATCAGGCTGCCCAGCCCTCTGACCAATAGCTGTCTGCAGCCAGGGCTGGAACTCATTGGATTAAATCCTTGTCTGTCTCTAATCTTGTCCTATCTCTGTTCTTTGGGGGCTGGCCTTTTAAGCCAGGCTGCTTATCCAATCAGTAGTCAGATTAACTGCCCAGTACAAGCCAGCTTGCACTGTGACAATAGGGGTCCAACTTGAGGAAACACCCAGCATGAGCTGGGAGATATCACAAGGAGAAACACACTCTTTAAAAATGGATCAACTTGAGATGAGGGATTGAGTTGGGCAACATATTTCGAGTAGTTAGACAGTCATGGGAAAGTAGGAAAACAGCTTTTTTTTTCTATATCCAGCCTGAACCTCTCATGTTACAATTTGTCTCTCCCTCTCCCAGTGTGCACTGCTGTGAAGAGACTGGCTTCATCCTCATTGTTTTCCCACAGGCTCTTCCCCAGAATGGACCATCTCTGTCCCTCAGCCTCCATTCATGGGGCGAGAGCTCCAGCCCTTGCCACCTGGGGGCCTCTCCCAGATAGCCTGAATGTTTAAATTTTAAAAATAGTCTATAATAATTAGGAAAAAAGCTTGAGCTGCATTTTCTTGTTTTTATATTTACATAGAGAAGTAGTTTCATGTGGTCCTTATTGAAAAATTTTGTCTGGGGACTATATTTTAAATTCCAGCATGCAGGCATCTAAATCCAAAGCCACAAAGGGACAGAAGAACCCTGTCAATACTTTAAAGTGTATTTCTCTAATGCTTCTCCCCATTAGTGTTTGGTTGTCTTTGAAAGCACAGAGCTGCCATGGCACCTAACATTATTTTTAAAAAAATCTACTTTTGCAGCCAAATCCTATCAAAATTCAGAAACTTATTTTATTCTACATGACCCAATTCAGGAAGTTGGTTCTGGGTCTCATGAAGACCATGGAGGAGGAGGAGGAGGAGGTAAAGAAGTGAGAATGGGAGAGGCAGTCTTTCTGTCCAAAAGTTTATGTCAGAGAGGTGGGCTTCTTGTTCATTCTTGTAGCACAGAATTCCAAGGGTGTCCAAGTCTCCTGGCAGCTTTTGCCTCAGCTACTTAATATTTAACAAGTCATTAGGATTTGGAATGAACTGCCTGCTGGGTAGGCAAATTACTTTAATAAGTTAAATTACTAACTTTAGTTAATTTATTTGCTTTCACAAAAGGAAACATCTTAATATAATTTGCTGTTCTTGATTACATCATATTAAATAAATGAAGTAAACAAAATCACACATGCATATACAAACATCAGCTTTGAAAGACACATTGCAAAATTCCCTGCAGCCCTGGAGCCAAGGATTTGAGCTTGCCATCAGGAAAGCTGTCAGATCGTGAGTGTGCTCAAAAGCCAGCTAAGGCTGCTGACCTACTTTTCTGGTCTCTTTCTGAAGCAAGCGGCAAATCCTCCCCTAAACTCTCCAGACATCAAATATTTAGCAGTGGTTACACATGGAGTATTTTGATTTCAGGCTGGCCTGGGCATATATATGTACATTGCAGGTCCCAGGTTTCTCCGAGTGAAATTTGAGTAAATTAGCATTTATTCTATATTTAGGTGGGTGTTCAAGTGCACATGTTGACCTTGACTGAAGGAATTAGTGGTTCCTTTATGAAGCAGTGCAATAAAGAGGAGGATAGGGGTTGCTTGTTACGCCTTTTCCTTGATACGGATGGGAGCAAGTTCCAGTCTAGTCCAGCCAAGGCAACAGGCATTTCTAAGACAAACTCTGGACATACTCAGCTAGTGGATATTTGCTGGACTGCTCTAAGATTTTTGGAAGTCAGGTATCATAGTATAAATTGACCTATCTTGATACAAATTTTATGTATCTTACTTCCTCCTCTGCTATTTCTGGCACTGGAACAGTAGTCTATGTACAAAGTAAAACACAGTACACAGCCTTGTACTCCATGTACAATATCATATACAAAGGGTTAAGTTTACTCTGCATCTATATGTGCACTGCATGGTGTAATCTAAGGTAAATATATGTTATGCCCAACATACTGTAAATTTAAAACAAAGCTACAAGCCCCATGTCTTGAAACAGATTACTCGGGCACTACCTCAAGCATCACAAGTGGGTTTCTACAGTCAAAGCAGGAATATCACCTCTCTATGAATTAGAGTTAGCATGGGGACCCAGACTTCACTTTTTGACACAATAGCCAGGGTCCAAAAACCAGTGGTAAGCTCAGATCAAACTGTGGTGCTTGAATGGAGAACATTTTCTTCCTGACAGGATGCCTGTGTAATGCTATTAAGAATTCTTAATCTGTCATTATGAAAGGAATTACTGAATTTACAGTCTGTTAATGCCATATCCACTAGTCCCATGTTTGATCACTCCACAGCCCTTTTGAAGAGAGAAAGCTTTTTACTTCTCTAATGGCTCCAGGGCTTGCAGCACAACATCATTTGCATTGAATGTCATGCTTATGTAATTCAAAAGGTTATTTTGTTGGAGTTGAAAAAGACCACTCAAAAGATAAGTAACCAAAAATGAGAGTCTGCTCATGCAGACTTCAGCTCATGTGAATATTCTGCTACCATCTCTTTCTCCAAAAACTGCTGTTTTCTTTATATCTATTTATTTTCTTTTGCACTGCTGAAGATGCAACTAACATGGGAAATGCAAAAGCACTAAATCAGTATTAAATAATTTACAGCTTTACTTGCTACAGCATCTATCTTAGTTGGGAGGGAAAGTGAATTGTTTTATGATCATTTGTGTTCAAAGCGCTTCCTTGGATAAATATCGTAGAGGGGAAAAAAAACAATAAAGGCTTAAATACTGCCCCAAGGAGAGGGGATTGTACACACTACTGGCTCTGACAACTCTATATGAATTATCATAATCTTCACACAGAGCTGTCATGTGCTCAAAATACCAGCGGTGTTTTGAGGAGGAGGGGGTACATCTCTGGGTGGGCATCTCTGTGCTCACTGGTGATAGGCCCCTCTGCTTGCGCTCTTTGCAGCGGCCGAGGAGTGGCGCAAGATGGGAGGCGAGCCCTGGCAGCTGATCGAGCCAGTCGATGGCTTCCACCCCAACCAGGTAAAATCCCGGACCCAGAAGATGGGTGGGAGCAGGTGGGATGTGGAAGCATGTGAGATGCAGGAGAATGTGGGATTCTGGTGTCTATTGCTGCCCCAGGCATCCAGTTGACATGCCACGGGGATGTAGGTCTGGGGAATCTGTCTATTTTAAAGGAGAGAGAGTCATAGAATCATTTAGGGTGGAAAGACCTCTAAGATCATGGAGGTCAACCATTAACCTAACACTGCCAGGTCCACTAGTAAAACCTGTCCCAAAGTAGCACATGTTAAATACCTCCAGGGATAGTAATGCACCCACTTCCCTTGGCAGCCTGTTCCAATGCTTGGCAACACTTTCCCTAAAATATTTTTTTCTAATATCCAATCTAACCCCTCTCCAGTGCAGTTTGAGGCCATTTCCTTATGTCCTATTAATTTTTTCATGGGAGAAGAAACCAACTCCCACTTCATCACAACCTCTTTTTAGGTGTAGAGAGCACTAAGATCTCCCCTCAGCCTCCTTTCCTCTGGGCTAAAAAACTTCTGTTCCCTCAGCTGCTCAATAAGTCTTGTGCTCCAAACCCTTCCCCAGCTTTGTTGCTCTTCTCTGGACAAGCTCCAGTACCTGAATGTCTTTCTTGCTGAGAGGGGCCCAAAACTGACCATTGGATTTGAGGTGCAGCCTCATGAATGCTGAGTACAGGAAGACAATCACCGCCCTAGCCTTGCTGGCCACACCATTGCTGATACAAGCCGGGGTGCCTTCTTTGGTCAACCTAAATGACAGCTGTAGCCAAAGAGCCGGTATCTCCACTTCTGATGGCTGCACTCTGTTCTGACTCCTGCAAGGTCTTCTGCCTATTTCCCTCACTGATCAGTACTGTGGCCAAACAGGTCTTCATGCACAAAACCTGATCCTTGCCACTTAGGGTGACCAGCTGCCTGCCCAAACACCCATGGGAGTTTTGCAGGATCAGGACAGTAAGGCAGCACTGCCGAAACCAGACAGAGCCCCTCCAGCCCTGCCCCTGCCCTGCAGCCTCTGAGGCTGCAGATTTGTTTGTCACAGTCTGGAACAAAGATTCTTTTTCAAGTTATACATTTAAATTGCTTATGCTCAGCAGCTACTTATTATTATATTTTCATTTGCTCATTTGGCCTTCTAGGACAGGTGGCAGGAGAAGGTTTGCAGTTGGTTTATTACAGAAATAAACAAAAGGGAAGGAGAAGCAGCTGCTCCACTGTAAATCCTTGCTTCGGCTTGATAATCTAGCGTGAGATTGCCTGGTACCCACCATGTTCACTTCAAATTAGTTTTTTTCCAACCTTGTAAAACACATGGAGAGATCATGTTCTGCAGTCAGCTGCAAAAAAAAGACAGTTGGTTTTCTACACACTATCTGAAGGTTTTCCTACACATGTGCTGCAGTCAGTCTCCTTTGCAAACAAACCCCATCACACTGCCCAGCCACTGGCAGTGCCATTTGGTAGCTCCCCCTGCTCAAAATCATGGGGAGATTTTACGTGTGAGATAATGCCCTGCATGTGTTGACTCCAACAACCCCACTTCCATATGACCCAATGTGGTGAAGTTTTCCACACTGGGAAAGAGCAGTCAGTGGAGAAGAACTTCAACAGGAGTGAGTTGCAAGCACTGATGGATTCCAGCATTTCAGCAGCTTCTCCATTGACTGTTCTGTCAATTAAGCTAGAGGAGACCTGCAGGGGGAAGTCCAAAGGCAGAATAGATGCTTTAGGTGCTATCTTTTACACCCCTGTTAGGCACAAGGCCATACAGTGCCTTGTTAGCCCTGCCAAATTACAAGATCCTCCTGCTTGTAGATTAACACCTACATAGTTGAAATTCCTACCTGTCTACCACAGAAGTACCAGGAAACACCTGCATGAAAGTATGAACTCGCAGCCAGGGATGTGGAGAAAGCGTGCCTTGATTTTTTGCTGCAGGCTTTTTGCAAGGAAGCAATTAGTGAAAACCTGGCAAATGAAATGAGAGCAAAAACAGTGATGAAACAAACTCCATTCCCAACCCTGCCATCTGGGGAAACTGCAATATGAAGTCTGGAGTGCGATGGAGACTTCTGTATTATTTCCTTTGCATTATTTTCCTCTCTTTCCCTAGCCTGAGGCTAGCCTGAGGTTTCTTATAACCCCCAGCACCAGGCCACAGTGGGAACCAGGCTTGTCATATCACAGCTTTTCATCCAGCATCCTGCCCATCCTGCATCCCACCAGCAGCTGCAAGGTAACACAGAGTTGAAGGCAGAAAATATTCATCTTAGCAGGATCCTTCCTAAGCCACAAGAAAATTATGAAAGGACATTGAAGGGCAGCTGCAAATCTGCTAGCGGCCCCCAGAGTGTTAAGCTACAAGATGCAGTCAAGCACTGCCATATTTCACTCTCTCTGGACCTGGCATCCTGCAGTGGTTATGATCTCTCCTTCCTGCTCTTAGGATGACATTAATGCTTTATAGGTACATTTTCCCTTACAGTCAAGGTGCCAGCTGTAGATATGCCACACTTCAAGTGAGTTATTGTCCTCCTAGGATTTATTAATTAGCCTTATTCAAACATCCACCATTGTAAATCCATTTTTCTTTTCCTGTTGGCGTAGTCTGTTATCAACATACCACTATTTGGATTGAGACTCAGCACTCTGCCCCAAAAGAGTGACTCTCTTAATAAACAGAAGGAGAAGTGTGAGCAGAGACTGCTATTTTTGAGTGTTCTTAAGGAAGATGATAAACACTCCTCGTACAAGTTTTATTTAAAGTTTTACTTTCTCCTGACATGAATGCCTCTGGCCAGGTATGGTTTCTGTAGCATATAGAGCTGCCTAGCAGGAGAGGATTGATTCCATGCAACTTGTCAAGTGAACAGAGGCTCTTACTTCCATCTCTGCAGCTATTCTCCACACCTCACAGACAGCTTGATAAATTCAATGGATAAGATACCTCGCCAGGGCATTTCTGCTTAATTTTCCCTCTGTAGATCTCGAAGCACCTGACAAATATGAACTAATTTTTGGATTGAGAAGTGCTCCAAGGAAAGCATAAACATCTTAGCTCTTGCCTTCAATGGAAAGAAATTTTGAAGTTTAGGGTGAAGGAGCCACTTTCTGTGCCCCTTTCAACCCAAGGCTGAGCTGGCAAGTATGATCACTAGGTGATCCCTAATGACTGTGGTACAGCAACGTGGATAAACTGGTGTCTGTTGTCAACCCCTGAATTTCACCTCTGTTTATCCACTGTCTTTAATTTTTAAAAAATAAAAAGTAGTCTGCCGGTATAAACATGGCAGAAGCAGGTGTCAGCATGTATATTCAGGAATTCAGATGTCCAGACATTCTGGAGGGATGTGGGAGGGAATTGAACCTTTCTAACTAAAGCTTGCATACTTTGTAAGGAGAAGGAAAAGAAGATAAGAAAAAAGGCCACACTTGCCCTGTCCCATAAGACCTAGTGCAGATTTTCATGCATTGGAGAAAGGCTACGTTAGGCACTCAGGCAGGAAAAACTAGCCCACTCCAGGGAATATTTTATATGAAAAAAATCATGAAAGATGGGATAAACACCAAGTACTGATTTATTGAGCTGGACCTAGAACTACATTCCTTTCCTATAAAGTTTTTTGTGGGAAAAGGGCTTTCTTACATAGCTTTTCTAAGTTGCAAAACCGGAGAGAGCAAACAAAACACTCATAATTGGCATAACTGCATTCCAGTAAAGTTTCAAAGCTAAGATTTGCCTCCATCAAGTTTTTCCCAAAATGCGCATCTCAGGATGGAGGTGGAGGAAATTCATGCTATTTACTTTTAACACCTAAAAGTAAAGTGATTCATTCAGTCCTCCCAAGTTTCCTCTAGAGCTGTTTTTGAGACACCATTCCCCAAAGTCCAGCTTGGTTGTCCTTGGAAAAAATCTGATTTTTTCTTCACAGTGACTATAGAGGGAGCCCAGGGATTTTCTTCAGCATCTCCTTCTTACAACAAAATTTCACTGCAAATCCTTGTGAATGCCAGATGGCTTCAAGGACACCGCTTCCCTCTAGAATAGTCGATTGCTTTCTTTGCCATGCATTTCAACAGGACCCTGCATAAACCACTTCCTTTCTTGCTTTTATGAAGTTTCCAGGGAGAATGCGAAAGCCCTCACCATCACAAACTGGAACATGAGACGCTTGGAAGATTCTTAATGTTTATGTACAGGCAGGAAAGCACAGCTTGAGTGTGATTAGCTTTTTCCTTTTTCTTCCTTAAGACATAGCAAAGCATGTTCCAGGCAGAAATAAAGAGAAAAAGCTGAAGTGATGCATATCAGATGAGCTGGGTATTTACACTTTGCTGAGAATCATGCCTATCACTTGTTTGGTGCAGAAGGGGAAAACAGATAGACAGAAGCTGGTGAAAAACCACAGCTGCCTTCCAGTTGCAGTCACCCAAAGCTCTGTGAGAAATGGGTAATGCTTCCTTTTAAAAACTTGCTTTGGGGTTGTCATCTTCACAACAAAAAAAATAATTGCAAAGTTTATAAAAATTATACCACTTCTCAAAGTACAAGAACTTTGAAATTTAAAAAAGACCTGCAAGAAAGCAATTTCCAGAGTCACAAACCCTTCTCTGTGCTAAACTACTCATCCAGAATTAGTTATTGAAATCATCGGGACATCAAGAAATCATGTGTGCGCAGGACCTAATTCAATTTAGGGCAGTCTAAGCACATATACCTTGAATTAGAGGCATATATGTTAAATTAGTTCAGCATTAGTCTGAACACTGTAGGACATACCTCCTTTACAAAGGGTGTACCATGCAAAGACAGTAGGGTTTTTTAAACCACCCACCCAACCAATCAATTAACCAACCCCACCTATCCTACTAAAAAACACATGGAAGGCTTAGGGAGGTTTGTGAGGGAAGTTTGTGAAGAAGGTTTGGAGACTACCATGCCAGAATGGACCACTCTGACAGGGATGGGTCTCAGCCCCCTGGCTGCCACAGGGTGTCCCAGAAGAATGTTTGGTCACAATAGAAACTGCAACCAGGAGAAAATCCTCTAATTGAACAAATCTCCACTATCCCTCTTCCCTGCCCCAATTCCTTCATTAGTTTAAAAAGACTTTGAGAGACCAGAGTCTAAGAGCCTCCAACCCACAAGTTACTCTTTGCACGTGAGGCCTTAAATAAAAGAAAGATTTTTGTCTTCTAGCCCATTATAAGAGCTTATTTTAAAGCACAGGATTTAAAAAGTAGCACATAAATTCCCCACAGGCTCCAGTACCTTCCAAACTCCAAAACAACAGTACTCAAATAGTTTGATTTTATAAACCCACCTTGGCCCTTAAAAAAAAAGAGGCTTTTTTAGCCTTATTTAAACCTCATAATTGCAATCAATATCCATATGTTGAAAAGATTGGATGGAAAATAAAGTTCCCATATAGGCCAAATATTACTGCAGGTCAGGAGTATAACAAAAATGCCTTAGAAAGGTGTACAAACTTGGATAAAGGAAACTCAGGCTTTTCTCTCTGTCCCTTTCTGCTACCACTGATGTTTTTCACCTTGGCAATATAGCAGATAAAATTTCTCTTTGATACATAGCTTCTAGAGCAAAAACCTCTTTGAAAGCTGGAGGGAGACTGATATTGAGGAGAAAAACTATTCTACAATTTCTGCGGGTCTCATGGGAAAAAACTCTGAAGACAGCTCAGTAGCAGGTGCAAACTCAGAGCATCAGACACAGTTAGTTATGAAACTAGAAATAATTTGGCCTCTTTTTCCTCAACACCTGTGGTTTCCTCCCAGGAGAGCACAGAAAACATTTATTAGAAGTACCAAAGATATTTGGGAGCATGAATTACTTTGGACTTGCAAGAGTTTTATGCATTACACTTTTGACATACTTTCAAAATGTCACAGGAGAAAAAAAATTTAAAAATCAGACTTCAGGGCTTTGAATTAGCAGTTTATGGACTAGGAACATAAGGCATCTGGAAGTGTTTGGAGACAGACTATCATCATTAGACAAATGACAGGTCAGGGAGTTGCAGATATATGACCCTCATCCCATTTTTTTACTGTTTGGGATTTGGGCCTGCTCAAGCAGCTGGAATGGGGTATTTCCTTTGGTTAGAGGTTACAATCCATCACATGATTATACTGGGCAGTCTGCCTTATGGTGGGGTCTTCTAAGCTCTAGCATGAAATGACTGTATTACAGAGGCACAAGAAATTGATTTGTGATTTGCAGATTGCTGCAGCCCTTGGAACAGGCATTATCTGGCAGAGGGCGCTTCATGAGTGGCCTCAAGTGCTTGGCAAGGCGAATCCATTCAACGACCAGATTGAAGCCATATTCAAAGATCAAGGTGGACACTGATTTCCGAACTGCTGGAGCCCTCACGTGATTTATGGTGGCACTTCCACGAGTCAAGATGATAAAAGACACACACAAAGAAGGGGGAAGGGAAAGTCATCAGAGTCAGTAGCAGTGGACATGATAAGAGCATTCTTTTCAGTTTGTATATCACCTGCACAAGTAGGCTATGCTTTTTCTGTGGAGCTACAAAAATAAAAATCAAAGTATAGCTGCTAGCTAGACCATTTATTGTACCAGTCTGAAAATGTGTATTTCTTTAATCCATATATAGCAAACTCCTAGCCCTATTTTTTTTTCTTCTCTAGAACATTTCTAGGTTATTTGTCGTGTTTCAACAGTTAATTTGATCCCCAAAGGAGAGGGAGGGGACCCCAAACTCATTATATTGCTATAAATTGTATGTAATTGCCTTGACTGTCAATACACTATTTAGCTGTTTTTTACTTATTAAAGTGCCAGGAATAACAAGGCACTACAATTTCAATATGCCTGGCAGCATCAACACAGGCTGACTGAGCACAGACTCTCTTCCACCATTAATAAGATATTAATAAACACTTCATGTATTCAAAGCAGGTTGCTTTTTTTGCTTCCTAAGAAATAGAATATGGCTAGTTCTATGTCTTTTACAGGCATAGCTGGAGAATCACTGAAAATACTGGGCAGCCCTTACTTCATGGGCTGACTTGAAGATGGAGAATTACTTTGTTTTTTCACCAGCTTATCCAATGCTCTCAGTAAAATAAAGAAATATTTTAAAATTGGAATCAGCTCTACCCTACCCATAATCTTACTGATGATAGAGGGATCAGAGAGGATAAAATGGCATTAATTATGGGTGGAAAAGATCTGGTAAAGAGCAAGCATTAACACGACATGATTAAAACCAACCCCAACAGCCCAAAACTCAGGTAGAATTGTTCTGCTCCTTGTTCTGAGCACAGCCCTTGCACACAACTGTGTCACATGTGAGGCAGCTCTTGGGCTGTGGTCCAAACCCAAGGATAGGCCTGGCTATAGGACATGCACCCACTCAGCATTTTGAACAGGCAAGAGATAACTTGGCTAATACTATTTTGATTGACGCATGTATTATTGCTTTCTTAGATCATGATCCTTTTTATAGAGTACAGTCAATGCTGGGTCTTTTATTAGGATATTAAGATAGAAATTCCTTTGGGATGACTGCTAACGCATAAGTAAACATTCAAGTCACCTACTCTAGGAAACCAGAAGGGAATACATTCCTTAATTGAATGAGACTTGTTAATAAGTACCCAATTCATTCAAGGCATTTAGATGTTCCCAAATATCCAGTCTCCCAAAGACTAGTTTCAACTGCAGAGGCATGCCTTGGGAAGACTATTTAGCATCAGGAGGAAAAGGAAATCTCCTTTCTTCCTGTAGAAATTCTCTTCAAGCAACATAACATTCCATGTACCCTGGCCAGGTAAAGCACTTCCTATTTTTTTATTACCTATTCAGGACTCTGTATCTTTCATTAAATACAACAGAAGGACAGAGACAAGTGCATCCACATGTTTTTACTACAGCCCAAGTACAGCACAGGCAATAATTACAGAATATCAGGTTATTTTCTCTACATCAACACATAGAAGTGTAGCAATTAAAAGGGGGAAGGGAGTCATGTTCGGAAGCCTAATTTTCAAGGCAATTTCTTCACAAATTATTGTATTTCATTTGAGGTTAGGATTGAATAACACCAATTAGGAGTTTTACAAAGTAGTGAAACTGACATTTCCTCAGCTAAAATAAGCTTCATTGCCCAGAACAAAGCATTTTTCTCTTAGAGACTTTCTTACTTGTGAACTTCTTGAGTTTCTGAACAACAGGGAGAAAAAGGTTTCTTCTAAAATTAGAACGCATTTTCAAAGATGACCTGAAACTTCCATAGCAGAGTCCCAAAGCAAAGCCCTCTCAAAGGTTTGTCCAGTACCATTGCTCCGTGCTGGATACAGGGTCTCAGGACACCAAGGAATGGGCTTGCCCCTAGCTGAAGGCACACTACCCAAAGCACATGCCCTTGTGCCTCAAGGTGAGCTCTGCACCTCCAAACCCAGCTGCATGCAGAAACCTGATACATAACTAATGCAGTAACTATGTGTTGAGAAAGATGAATTTTGGGACTATTAAGCGATGAGCTTTTACAACTGCTCTGTCTCTCTATTCTTTCAAATGCAAAAAAACAGCTGAAGATCTGCAATCACAACCATCAATCACTTACACATATCATTCTAAAAATATATGCCCTATACTTAAAAAAACACTGTTGAAAAAGCTTATTTATGCTAAAGCAGTGACAAACTATGAATTTTAGTCTCTTCCATTAGGTTAACTGTCTCCTGGTGCTTAGATTGGTTGAAGCTGAAAAATGCACAGGGAAAAGAAAAACAGGAAAAACAAGTTTCTCTTGGAAAACTAAGTATATTTCAATGCAATTCAAACTTTATTAGCAGTATATAGTTCTAGAAGGAATGGTCTGCCAAGATCTTTTTTGGGAAAGAGTCAGCATGTGAATAAATACAGAAGGGATTATATCACTGGTTGGGTCCAGCACACTGCATGTGGGAAGGCTCTCTTGATTGTTCGGTAGTTTGCAAACTCTTTCATCGCAAAGCCTTAAAAGAGCAGAGGAACATGGGAGGGGAGGAGGCAGCACCCAGCAGTGCCAGCCAGGAAAGCATAAGCATAGCTTCCTGCTAAGCTTGCGTCCTATGCTTCTGCTGGCTGCAGGAGCCCATGTCCTCACCACTCAGAGCCTGTGCCCAGAAGTCACCATACAGGTCAGTTTTTCTACCTAACTGCACCTGTTGCACTTTATACCTTTTCCGTTATGAGGAGAACTTCTTGCACAATGAACAAACACAGATTGATTTCTACAAGGGATAATAGTCCAATTAGCCTAAATTAAAATGTTCTCTTGAATATCATCTAGTTCTGTTCTTAACACCTTTCTGTGAACTTATTTCATAATTCAAAATTTAATGATTTTAACTCACTTGGGAGTTTAGACAGCCTACCACACATCTACTGCTGAAATTTGCTCTTGCACTGTCCACGTTATTCTGCTGCCATGTCTGTCACAAAAAAAAAAAAACAACTAAAACACAAACATCTCTCCTCTTCATATTTGATGAGCTGCTGCACATGGACAATCCGGCCTCCCACTACAAAATTCACCTACCTACATCCAAGGCTTCACATTATCAAGTGGAATTCTGGGATACATGTACAGAATAGAATCTTTCCTTAAACATTGTGTGAAGCTTTTCTTCAGCCTACAAATTAGTACCTCAAAGGCATAGATGACATTATGAGAAAAGCGGGAAGGGTTTAACTTTTTATTTTAATTGAATGAAATAAATCTTAAGACATATTATTGAAATATTTAAAGACATCAAAAAAGAAAATGAGATTTAAAAGCAAGTACAAAAAGAGAAGGATAAGGTAACAGAATTTAGTGTTTTGAGTGTGAATATCTAACAGCAATAGCAATTTTTAAGTTTTCCACTACTGCATTCCTACTGAAGTAATGAGCTGGTATTTCAATACGCTCAGTGAAAAGCTGTGAAAACTGCAAGTTTTAACTGAGAAATGTTGCCATTTTCATGATGGGTCTGAAGTACTGTTTTGATAAGCATTTGTAGACATGTCTATGAGGGGGAGGAAGACCCGTTCTTTCAGCCAGTGGAGTATTAGTTGGTATATAGCAGCTTTGCACAGTCTTATTATCAAACAAACAAAACAAAACAAAAAAAAGGCACTTTTACAACCTATTAACCTATTCCTGGTTCTCAAATGGAGAATTCTAGCTTGTAAAAAACCACAAGTCCCAGGAAATATTGGTGTATACTACCCTAAACTTAAATTTTTGCACGATTTCTTTTATATAATAGTCCTAACAAAAATATTCAAGACCTTCCATTTCTATCAAAGTGCAATATATGGCATATGTAATTCCACATCTGCAAATCACATGGTGTACATGCCACACACTTATCCATACTAGTTTGTATGAGAAATTGCAATAGTATGGATATCTTGTGCATGTCTTTTGTTCTGACCACAAGGATGGTGTAGAAGCAGAATTATCTATACTGCAAGTTGTAGAATAAAATTGACTAGTTACTTCTATGCCTGATCATTACAAAAGAACAAATGCTAAACATTAAATCTTGTGCTTCAGCAGCATCCTTGTTAAGAGTATTTTGAACTATTGTTTTTTTCAGGGAGCTGAGTTATCTAGAAAGTTTGTCTTTCACTAGCTAGTGCCTCCCTTCCTGCCCTGAAGTGTGATTTCCTGCAATAATTTAGCTGTTCAAAAAAGATAATGCATTTAGCGAGAAGACTTCCAAAAAATGAGTTTTATAAATATTTAGCACTTCAGAAACGGATGCCTACCGTACTCAAAACTAGGAAGTAAAAAGTTTTTTAAATTTTTAAAGTGAAATAAAAATAACATAACATAGCATAACATAGTCTTGTATAATGTTAAATACTCTCTCAAACTTAAAGCATAAGTGACCCAGAAGACTTCCACATTTTCATTTACATTATTTTCTTATGTAGTTCCCTTCCCAAGTTTAAAGCTTTCTAGTAGGTTTGTAGCAGGCATCAGGCTGCCACATGTGAAGGTCAATGAGGACTTGGTTGAGCTTTTGCATCCAAAGGTTACGCTCTTCTTTAGTATCAGCAGACAGCCAGTTCCTAGAAGGCAAGGAACCCCATGGATTATTCTCCATCTCCAATTAGTTATTGTAACGAATGTCAAACTTATCAACCATAGGAGTCCAAACAGCAGGCTTAAAAATTAAGTCAAACATTCCACAATCCTGCTACCAAGACATCTGGCATTTCCACTCCTAGAAAGCAGTTAGGACTACAAGTGAACAAAACAGTTCAAGTGCGACCCTTAGCATTTAAATGACCTTTGCATCATTATGACAAAAGTTGTAAAGCTCCTACATTACTAAAACTATCACATAAGGTAAAATACCCTCCCACAATCTCCATGATTTTATGCACTCACTTTGTAACACAGAGTGTGTCTCTGCATTGGCTGACAAGGGTCTCACGGTCATCTTCTCTCTGAGGTCGGACAGTTATTAGTTCAAAAGTGTTGGGACGGGCACAGAACTCCCTGTTGGCAGGTTCAATCTGATGATTAGTGCAGTTAGCCAAGTTTATCCGGCCCAAAGGATGCTGAAAGTGAAATCAGTTAATCAGTCAAGAACACTGTAAACAAGAGTAATTCTGAACAACATATGCTTTCACAACTTTGATGATATTAAGTGAACACGTCTTCTCTCAGTCAGCTGCTCCATACAAAAAGGTGATATATGTGCAGCTGTAAGAAATTTATTTAAAAAAATACTCCATGATTTAAAGTAATCATGGCCTAATGCTAATATTTCCAAATGACATCTATCTCTGCACAATGGAACAGATATACTAGGGGTGAGGGGAATGCATTTAGTAAGTTTAGTATTTCTGTAGATCACCAACATATAGCTGACTCTCTCTCTGGAAAATAGTGAAACAAGTCTAGATTTTCCAGAACAGAAGCCAGAAAACAAACCAAAGCTTTTTTCTTGCAGATAAAAGCAAAATAGGAATCACCTTCTTGTTTAACTTAATTTTCTTTTTTTTTGCTATCTTATCTTACAGTAGGTAGGGATTTTTACCTCTCTCCTGGCAAGGAAAGAAAGTACATTGATATATTTTGGCAATGTCAACCATCAGAATATGGTCCTCCTCTGTTAGCAGGGAAGAAACTAATCTCAGGCATCTGGATTGGCAAAGAAGTCCCAAAAAGATCAAAGTTTGCCACAGAGTTTGGGAAAGAAAATGTTCTGCCACTAAATAAGAAAGTGTTTAATGGTAAATAATTTCAGTGAGCAAGAAAAACCCTCTCGGAAAGCAGTCTTGAAAAGAACCTGATAGTATTTTAGTACACTGCAGGAACACACTAAGGAGACAAGAAGTGACACCTCAGTGACAGATGAACCTTTGATTTGTCTCATTAGCCCAACAAGAACTTAGTTTTCTGTGAGAACCATTTAAGAAGCACCAGTTCTAGTACAATGAGGAGCTGCAAAAAGACAAGGACTTCAAATAAGACAGTCTATAACTACAATTATGCTTCTACAATATACAAGGATTGCCCACTAATTTTTTACCATATTGTTAGTCATCATTTCATCCAAAACTTAAGGCAACTAGATACGGTCTGCTTATTAAGCTGTACAAGTCCAATCAATTTCAATTAAATAATTAGTGATTTAATGAGCACAATGGAAGGCCTTAAGACTAAAGGGGAAATTAAATCTGGATCCTCCATCACTTTTCCTCCTTTCCTACCAGACAGGAAAGTCAGTTTCTAAGTTTGCCCTGATTTAGGTCAGCTTTATGAAAACAAGCCCCCTCCATTCCCCAAGGAAGCTTTAGGAGCTTGAATCCTATGCTTTAGCAGTTTAAAGTCTAAATATTACTGTCCTTAAAAATGAACAGTTGCTTGTGTAGGGTACCACAGAACTTGAGACTTAAGCTTTAGAAAACAGCATTACCTTTAGTTTCTCATCATCTGGGTATGTCCAATAGGAGATACAATTTCCAGACAGCACACACCAGCGCCTATGCCATGCTCCAAATCCACTGACATCTTCAAACATAGTCTTAAAAACAAAAAATTAATGGGGTAACTTTGTACCTTGAGCTTGGTCTGTACTTGACTATTTTTCTACCAGAATGGTTCTCTAAGTGCAACCCTTCATAGGAGTAAATGAAAGAGAAGGAAACAAAAATTATACTGACAGAGGCTTCTACTTGGACAGTTTATTTATTTTCCAGATTGTGTAGAAAATTAGCTCACGCTATCGTTCTCAGGTTTGCAGCCTTTTGATAAAAGGCACCTATCATTCTTGTTTAAAATTACCAGATTTTCATGTTGATAGTGACAAGCACTCCCATTATTTTAAGATAAAGAAAGGTTAATTATAGTATATGCAGTATGAATGATTCACAAAGCATGTTCAAAAAACGATTTATTATTATTAGATATTTGAGTAATTTTAATCCTAATATGTGGATTAAAAAACATGCAGCTATTCAAGAGGCCGCACTTAAGAGAGTCCAGTCAGTTCAAAAGAAAATAGAAATTTATTTTTAAGCGTTTGCGTTGGCAGTTCTTTTACTGGATGCTGGATTTCAAGCCCATTTCCTTAGTATTGGAATGGAGAGTTTAGTATCAGACTTCTATTCCCGATATCTCTTGAACTCATACAGAGCTTTTTATGTTTTTTCAATTAATGTGTGAGATTCTCACTCTTCACAATTCAGATTATAATATTCAATGATGCAGGGAGTTTCCAAACCCTTACTCCGAACAAATTCAGAGTATGTACATAATTCTTCAGGTTTTACACTTTGCATACCAGAAGCAAGTATTTCTCAAATTAGTACACAGAAACTTGGGACAGCAAACACCATGTAAAATGTTTACATCTAATGAAATCTGTCCAACTTCAATTAAGTAAAGGGAAAGGAGACAGCAGGGTTTGGAAAGAGTCTAAAGAAATCATGATTTCTGGAAACACCAAAATAACAGCAAATGTTAATGTTTCATTTTCATAGCACATTTACTGCCATCTTGTGGACATTTCAAGAGTTCCAGCTGTTAGGCTCAAGTATCAGCTGCATTTTCTAGGTCCAGTTTTAGAGAGAACTGCACAAGAGGTTTCTCAAAGAAATACTATTGTTTCTTTGCCATTTCGAAAGGCTGAAAACACAGTGGGAAAAACCCAATAATTTGTTTTTATAAGACACACACAAAAAGAGTCCTGTAAAATTTTCTGCTACAGAAATTAAAATCTCATCTAACTTCACAGATTTTAGCAAGAAGGTTAACTGAAGTTCAAAATAACAAATAAACAGAGGTTTAGGAGAGAGATACACAAACTCTAAAAGGTAGCCTTAACTTAGACAATTGTAGAAGATAAACTAAGAAACATTTGCGGTCTGATTCAGAGATGGAAAAAAAAAAATCAAGCCAGTTTTACGCTTCAAACATAGGTGTGACATTAAAAAGTTACTATATTTAATAGGACCTGTAATTTCCAAGGCAGGAGTTTGAAGTGAATACAGTAAATACCTTACCAAGAACCCTTTCTCCTCCATCGAAGAGTCCACTTGGCATTTCAATTTCAGATATATATGACCTTCCAAAGGAGACAAAAAGGGAACCTGCAAAATGTAAACCAATCATTTAATTTTGACTCCTCTCAACTAAGTCTTACCAGTTCAAGCAAGCCACCTGCACCAACATGTTAGCACTGTCTTGTTCTTAGGACCTTCAGCCAGAAAGAAGCAGTCACTCAAGCAAGACAGTAATAATTGCTTTTGATTTCAAATTCATTTAAAAGCTTTCCAAGAATTATTTATTAGTTTGTTCATATATATAAACATGCACTCTAGCTATAAAGACAGGCTCTTCAAGCATAGTTAGAAACAACAGAAGGCACCAGTCCACACCTTTCAAGCTTCTGCCTCAGTTTGACACCAAGTTGTTTGGAAAATATCAAAGTGAGCTTAAACAGGAATGGTACTTGGATACCATAAGCATTTTTGGCAGATACTGATGTAGTAGTGCCTACTCAGATAAATCTTTGCATAAAAGAAAATCTAGAAAGGGGAAAAGTAATGAAAACAGTTCATGACTGGCACTCAAGGTGTTAAAAACACCTGTTATGTAATTTCTAACAGAAAATGTTCCTAGTCCTATCTTCTGCTACTGGGAAAAATATAGTAGCTTCATTGCTATACCAGAGGTCAGTTAAACAGTTATTTGATAGTCAAGAGTTTTGAGGAAGAGCATGCAACAAAGGTCTGCCTTTGAGCTTTCCCTAATCCCTCCATACATAATGCCTCATTACCTTGACTACTCCCATGAAATCATATCCTTTTTTTTCCCCCCGACAAGTAAACTGAGGCAAACTTCTAATTCAACAAGTAAATGATGACATACACAGTATTCTGCACAGTGTATTTTATTGCTAATCTGAATAAGCAATGCTGCTAAGAATCTTGAAAAGAAGTTGACAAAAAAATCAGAAACCTTAGTCTTTTGTATTACTAGAAAATCCAGGAAGGTCGATGTTGCTACTCAAATACAAATAAAGAACTGTTTGCCAGGGCATAAGTACAGGCATGCATACACAGTAACAAAATCACTTTCAGTACTATGGAATCAATGGCAATCAAATGGAACTAAATTTTGCTAGTAGCTAAGATGAACAGGAGTAACCCTTAATAGTTAAAAGTGCTCATCTGTGGGCCTCAGTGCCTGCAGAACACCAAAATAGGTGTTGTGATTAGAAATTGGTCACCTTCGAATTGCAGACATCCTGCAGCTTCCTCCCAGACATAAGACACACACAAACAGGTGATCAAATTATTTTTATATGTTAGATCTACTCAACTAACACAGCATGTATGGCTTGCTCCTGTACTCAACAGGAATAGTATAGCACAGAAAAATTCTAAGCATTAGGTAGGAGTCTGCATGACCACTTGAGAAGCAATAAATAGTAAAACAATTCCATGTAACAAAAGTAAAGAAATCCAGGACTGATGCAACTTATCAGCAAAGACAACTATAACCCTACATGCTACACCAGGGAATAATGGCATCTAACCCTAATAAAGCACAGTAAAATCCGTTTCTGAATGAGGCCCTCAAGGACGTTTGGTCATTCCCTGCTTCAAGGTCATGAGTTTTTTTATCCCCTTTAAGTTTTACGTCAGAAGAGAAGAATCCAATTTATGAAATTGAACAGTGAAGAACTATGTGACAGGCAAAGCAAAGAGGTTGTATAACAAACACAACAGTTTTGCAGAGCCTACAACACCATTACTAAAGAAGGTCTCAAAACACCTTCCTGTACACATAACGAGAAAATACTGAGTTCCAGTCAACAATATATCTCTTTCAAAGGTTTAATGGTGATGGAAAGAAAGCAGTTTCACAAATATCCAGCTAGATGAAAAACTAAGCTAAGCTATCTTGCATTCTGGTGTGGATATTCAGGTATTTGCCATAGGAACACAGCTTACTCTCGTTGATTATCTGTAAAGGGTCTCAAGATAACTCAAGAATTTGAAAAACTGGTTTCTTAGGATACTTTTGATTAAAAATAGGAGATGACAGATACTAAAATTACTTGCTTAATTTTTAGAGACAATATGAAAATTCATCTAAAACACTTTCTTCTGCAGGACTCAAATTATTAACTAGACAAAACTATTTTCATAGGTTAAACAAATTATTTCTGTTAACGATATCAATTCACATAATTTCTAAAGCCAAAAACATATACACCAAGCAAAATATTATAAGTGCCCATTTGTGTACAAATAGGGAGCTCATTTTTTGACATGTTTAGTATTTTCAAAACTTTTTGCTTAAAAAACACAAATGTCTTGCTATGTCTTGTCAGAACAAGGTTAGGATAAGAAGCAAGATTATTTAGGTCCTGAGAGATTTTAATTTTCTTCAGCAGCAAGTTGAGTTCAACCAACATTTAGGCTGCCAGACATTTTTCTCTGCTTCTCTTATCAGCACAGCAGATGATTTTAAGTTCTGTGTAGTTCATCAAGAAGCTGGCTCAAATTTCCTGACTAGAAATCTTTAAGAAACACACCAATTTATTCTGAAGCAAGAAACACCCTCCCCTAATGATCTAGGAAGCAAGAGAAACATGCTAGTTAAGGAAAAACCCTAAGTAACCTAAATAACTGAGTTCTAGCAGCATGCTTATTATTGTGAAAGACCAGAGGTAGAATTCTGCTAGTCTTAAAGGCTTCTTCTAACATTTTGCGTTTAGTTAGTAAATCTTTGTAAGCAGTTTCTCAGAAGAATAAAAAAAAAAAAAAAAAAAGCTGCAAAAAAGGTCAGAAAGAAATGAGCAACATGCACCAAGAAGCAGTTTAACTATTTTAAATTATAAACTAAAGGATCATAGCAACCTTGTCCTGGAACATATAGCCCAACAATTCTTTTTCCTCCCCCTCAAAATTTATCTAGGGAAAAAAGAAACATGCTAAATACAATTAGTGTAAAGTTATAGTCTAAAAGAAAAAAGGACACAGTTATACATGAGTATATTTTGGTCCTTTATACCCTGAGTTTTAACAGTACATAAGTAAAAGAGGGGAATGACACTCAAAAAAACCATTGTGGCATCAGTTTGTTCCATATCAGAAATGCATGAAGCAAGTTAAGAAGCAGCTGTTTGGTACAGCCATAGGACAAGTCAAAACTGAAATTTTACTGAGGTAGTTATTTAACAAAAAATCCCAAACAAGTCATGAATAATAATTGCCCTTTTTACCAGATTACTGTATGACTGTGACTGCAAAAACTTAACCAAATGATAGTTTCCCTGGAATTCTTTTAAAACACTGTGCTTTTGCTATATTTCACTAGTCCAGTGTCCTGTCATGCAATGCAAAGCAATGAAGTCCAAACCTAAACTGCTGAATATAATGCAAAAGCTAATTCCATTAAATCCAAGAACAAGGGGTTTCCAATCAGGAAGCTATACACAAAGATTTCTACATAGTTCTGGTATAGTATTGTTCTATATAGTATAGTTCTGGTGAAGAGGAACATTTATGCTGAAGAACCAAAGCTGCTACTTCTGAAATTCACATAGTAACAACAGTGAAATTTAACCATTAATTTTTACCAGCTGTTTCAGTAAAGGGATCTACTTCTATCTACAAAAGGTAAAACTTCTAAAATGCAAGTTGGGATTATTGGGATATTGTGTTTTAAGGCTCATACACAAACACAACTAGTCCTTGTTTTCTCATCTCTTATCAAAAGCTGTAATTGCAATAATACTATCATCACAATAAGACTTGATTAGACAAAAAAAAGAGAAAATTATTCTTATACTGCTGTTTGGGTAGCTGAAGCTGTGATTTAATACTACCATAAACTGCATTAACATTTTAATTAATTTAAACTAGCTTAGGATAGCTGGTGGCATAAACACCTATTAAAATAGGTTTTAAGTACTAGGTATTACAAGGTTAGAGATTACAAGGAATGTAAGAATGTATTTTTTGAACTTCTCATAGCAAAAACCAACAAACATGTTTAGACAAGGAAGTAATGACATAAAACTCAGTAATAGCTCTCAAAAAAATTAAAACAATTTGCTTCTACAAATTTAATTGTGATATGAAAGGGAAAAACTCATACTCCTAAATACATTCAAACGGCAATTTTTAAGTGCAGAAAAATTCAAATACTTCATTATCATTAAAACATGCTTAATGCCTTCTTTAATGATAACTGCAAGAGTAGAAGCAACAATATGAAGACAATGTATAGAGATGCCAACTGCATACATCAATTTTTTGTCAGTGAAAGCAAATCAGTAATCAAATTCCTTCATTATCTTTGCATAACCATACCTTACACTAAGCTGCAGAAATGAAAGAGCATCTGGCATAGTAATGTAAGTCTCCCTGTTTATCTCAAAATTACATTTAATTAATATGAAATCATATGTAAGTAACAATTAAGCAAAAGTTTTTAATAACTATATAAATAACGTATCTATAAACTAACATATATGTTTCATTTCTAGGATGGTACTTTTACCTGAAAAGTAAACCCAGACTAACTTTTCTAGTAGCATGCAATTACCTTTGTATTAGTAACCAATAATTTCCATTACCTGGTCCAGTGCAAATTTGGTATTTCCTACAGAAGACAGTGATAACTTGTGGGATCCAACAAGGATGAAATTTGTACTCCGTATGGCATTTGGGCCACCTGGACTGGCCATGGCTGTGGAGAAGAGTTTAAGTGAAGTCATAACAAAATACACAATCAGGATGCTGCAAGGCTTAATAAAAAGTACTTTATTTGCACTACTGTATGCATGCCCAGTACTCCAGAAGTGCTCTTTGCAGTGCAGCCCAGCAGCGCATTCAGAGAGAATCTTTATATACACCATTCCTCCTCAGCAGATCTTTTCTTTCAGAAACAAGCTTTGAAAACATCCACAAAGGAGAAAACAAAGCATTTTAAGTCTCAGAGGGATAGAGAACATGCTAGGGCACACTACAAAGCACACATGCCCTGCAGTAGGAACATGGCTTTTCAATCTCTTAACCTCAAGTGACACACTGCAGTCTTGCAGAATTTGTACATCTTTCCTTTGCACTTACATCATGAGACACACACACTGTAGCTCAGGAATTTTACTAGCTGCAGCAGCATGACACACATTCCAGATTTAGTTCATGAGCTCCTTATTGCTGCCTTATTTCTGCTAAAGCTAGCTCAAGTATGCACTTCTCTAACTAAAGTATGAGATAACACTTTTATCCACTTAGAAAAACACTTAGAGATGCTGTTTTTCCCTGTCAAGAGTCAGAAATATATAAACAAGTTTATACATGTTTTTTATATACAAATATATACGAACAAAACACTACACACAAGCAGTATTTCAGGATCTGTTCATATTTTCAAATTATTCTGTATTACTTTGCTGACAGCAGACACTAGTTCTCTACTTTAAAAATCATTGATTTAGTTTGAATTCTTACTTTCAGGAAAAAAAATGTACCATGGGTACCTGATACCAGATTTTAATTTTGATTTTGTAAAGATATCTTCTGTTAAACATAATGGCAACTCGGATATAAGCACAGGGCCAGTTTTTGGGCTGGAAAATTTAGTGTTTCTTACTCACAAATTGTCATCTCTTACAAGTATTACTTACTGATACAGTAGCTTTGACAGCAAGTGTAGATTATTCATCCTGGCATAAGATGTTTAGACTTAACTTACCTGGAGTAAGAAGGTTGCTTTTCTACGAAGAGAAAAATAAAAGCTTAATGAAAAAGAAGTTCTGACAGTTTCTACAGAAGACAAAGCTAAGGTAAAAATAAGTTAGATTTGAAGTACTTTTAAAGACCCAATCAAATAGAAAAAAAATAGAAAAGAAAGTCCAAATAAATGTGTAGTAACTGCATATTTCCAGCATTATACATGTAACAGAGCTGTTGACAGAAAGATTTAGCAGAAAACGCTCTATAAATTGTCAAGACAGAAAGAACCTGTTATGGGCACAGCCTTAATCTGTGCGAGAATGTGGCCCTTGGAAGGGGTCATAGTCAGATCTTGTTACAATATTACATTCATACTTACCGAGGTAATAGATGTTAATAATCTCTTTGGAGTAATAACCTACAAAAGAAGACAAGAAGATAAATGCATTTGCTACTGAATTTGTCCACCACATTTGCATGAAAAATTCCAGTAGTTTCCCTGTCTAGTTATCTCACATCTTGAATGGGTACTCATTACTATGAATAAGTCTTTGGTTTTGACTGCACATAATATATCTCAATGGAAGAAATTCTACATCTCAACGAAATAATTACTGCAGAAAAGTTAAAGCATGCATTAACTTGGAATGATTAGCATATTTGAGAAAACCAGTCTTAGCAGGCCCTATTACCTATGTAATGGAATTTCAAAGTTACATATGTTTAACTAAAGCTAAGAGTTAAAATAAAAGTATGGATATGTTGAATATGCTGCTGTTATATATAATTATTTTCAAATTAATATCTCAAAGTGTGAGACTATATATTAAACACAAACAATATTTATGTACTCTTATTGAGGCTGAAAGACAAGTCTAAGCAGCTTGTCAAAAAGCAGATATAGGCTGCCATTGGCAAACCTATATAACATCATATCAGCAGCTTGTCTACAGTAGCACAAAATCATTCAGTTTCAAGTGAAAATTCCCTTAAACTACAGCACAGGAAAGAAGCAAAGTCTGGGACTTGAAACTTTTATTAGAGAATAGATGGAAGCTTTCACTGTGCCATATCAAAGAATAAAGACACTTCTTATTTCTGCTTGCAGACACAGGACTTAAGTACTCATTCCAACTGTTTTGAAAGACACTCAAGTTTCTTGTTTTTACCAAGTGACAGATATCTTGTCAAGGAGGAAATCAGCCATTAATTCACTCCGTGCTCTAATAGAATGAAAAGAAAAATATACATGCGCTCCCCCAAAACCAACACAAAATTAACAAACTACCACATAAAAAACCAAACCACCTCCAGAAAGGCTTGTTCAGTGTTACATATCCTTAATAAAGCACAAACATTTGATATGCACACTCTTATTAAAACAATATTTATTTTAAAAAGTAAGCATCTAGTGCTTATACTTAATACTGGAGAGAAAGAGTTGTTTTTAGTTGATCATTAAAACCTTTAAGACAAAGCAAACTCCAAAGTAGGGCATATTGACTGGCATAGTTTCACTGAAGGGGAGAAAAAGGGCAGTAAATCACTATCACAGGCCCCAGACCTAATAAGTAAAGGTCTGCAAAGCATAGCATTTTGCAGAACTAGTAAGACTTCTTCCCCACTAATATATTTCAGACTCAATCAAGTGCTGCAGGTCCAATCTACTAATTGCTGTAGGTCTCCATAATCCATCTGTCATGGCAGATGTTCCAAGAAGGAAGTAAAAGCAAGCAACAGATTGTCTATCAGTCAGTTCTCCTAGTGCACCTTATGTTAAAATATTACATACTGATTTTCAGGTTTCATTTACCTTAGATTTATTTATTTTTTTCCTTTTATCAGTGCTTGTAACTTCTTTTCTCTGCACCTGTAAGGCAAGAAGGTATTAAGAAAGCACACCACATCATTCTTCCTTACAGCTCCTCTTAACAGCAACTGATACATACCCAACTGTAAACTTCTATATTTATTTCAAAGTCATTTGACACATCATGCCTAAATGGGAAGAAGAAAAAACAAGTTAAACAAACTGAAGTAAAAAGGCTTTTGTTTTGGTTTGTGGCAGGGTTTTGAGGGGCTTTTGCTTGTTTTGGTTGGTTTTGTTGGGTTTTAAGTCACTCTTTACTTCTTCCCTCCTTTTGCTCCTTATAACAGTCCAAGGAGCAAGAAGATTTTAGTATATAATTATTTTAAAATACTTTCCAGAACTCCAAGAACGGGAGGGGAGGACAAGGAGCAGATGACATGCATCTACTATTTCTCAGATTGCACCCTCTCCATTACAGACTGGATTTTTTGAGTAAGTAGCTTTAAGTGAAGATTCCAGAACTTTAAAAACAGAATTTATTTATTTTGAAGACTGTGCTAACTACTTACTAACAGTCATTTGAAGTCTTTATACTTTTTTAGCTGACATGTGAGAGTCAAAGTTATAGTTGTAAGAGCACTATTTTTCCAGATACCAAAACCAAATAGCTATATAAAATGTTAGTTGCTGAAAAAGAGAAAAACACATCTCAGGCACAGCAATCCATCTGTCATTGCAGGTGTTCTAGGAGAGGACAAAAGGCAGAAAATGCAAGAGATAAAATAGCTGATGGATGGTTGAGTAAGTCTAGGTTGCTCTTCTGAGAGAAGTGCCTTCCAGCTATTTTTTGAAGGAGGAAATAGCTATACTACAAAATCTCTCCATACTTTGTTGCAGATATGAAATTCCTATAACTAAGACTTTAAATGTTTTTATGCATGTTCCACCATCAGAGTTAAAACTGGTTCAATAAAGAGTTTCTTTACACTTACATAGTAAACGTCGTAGTAAAAGTAAGAGCATCTCCATTGAGAGAACTGGCAGTACTTGCTAATGGAGTTGCAACCATGTTTTCTGCTCCAGATCTCAGTATTATTACATAGTAGTAATTTCCTGCTTCTGTAAGTACACATCAGACAGTTTGGTTAGCCAGAGGACTCAAAGTATCTTAAAAAAAATTCCCAAATACTGCATTGCTATTAAGCACATCTCTGTTTCACCCTACTTAAAACATTTAGTTACAGTTGAGACTTGATTATAAACTTAATCTTGAAACAATTTTATTTTCTTTATGATGTATCTACTAGTAAAATTGTCTCCAGAGGATTCACAGCTACTGCTTTACTGCCTGGGGCATCTCAGGCCAGACCTACATTAACCAGTGTATGAAAGGGGAGAGGAAGAACTTTTAGACAGATCAGCAGATAATCCTAGCTCTTTATACTCCTTAGGTGTGCCAGCCTAACTACACATCAGCTTTCGCTGAAACATTGAAAAATTAGTTGGAAGCAGATGAACTCACTGCAATAGCTAAATTTTCATTACCTCTAGATTTCTGAGAACATCGGAAAGGACAAAAAAAAAAAAAAAAACCAACCCAAAAAAACCAACCAACCAACCAACCAACCAAACAAACAAAAAAAAAAATAAAATAAAAAAAAACCAACAAGAAGAATGAACCAGAAATATATGTAGGGAGAATGAGGAAGGAGGAGAAAAAGAAAGCTTTTATTTGCTAGTTTTACCTGGCTTTTGAACTGCAGCACATACAAAATCTGCTTTTAGAGGTAGACACATTTCTGAAATGGAAACAGATCCCCTGGAGGGAACAAATTCAGTGGATGTAGTAGTTTTATTTTTTTTATAATGTGGTCTTTCGTTCTTCAGTTTATTCAATTCTTCCAATAAAGCAGTTCTCTTCTCAGCTGCATGAAGAAATTAATTTAGTTCTATAGAAGAAAAAGTACTGAACATTTTTTTCTGCCATAAATATGTAAAATGCAGCTTAAATTTTTATCATTTTACAGTGTAGTAGGAATATAAAGGTCAAAACAGATACTAAAAATGTCCTCTTGCCTAGAAAAAGCTGACAGATACTATCCTGTTTTATTCCCAAGTGAAAAACTATTAATAAATGGCCACAATGTAACACAATAAATGAGTAGGGAAGAAATTATGAACCCTGTCAAAATGTTCATTACAAAGACTTGAATTTGAGTATAAAAACCAACTTGCAAAGAGAAGAAGTCTCTCTGCTTCTGCTTCTTCTTGTGACCCTTTTCCATGTTCCTCATCAAAACAGCAATTCAGAGCTTGACTGGCTTGATAAATCACTGTCTGTTGCATGTTGATCTTATTGTTCAGTTCCTAGAGTAAACCAACAGTAAAAATTACTACCAAGAAGAGATATTCAGTGTTGTGTTCAAACAAGGAAATGTCTCAAGATGAGCATTTTGGGGGGGGCAATGAAAGAAGAAAAATCAGATCCTTTAGAGAAAAGTACAAAAGCCTTGCAGTTTACCATTACCTCGACAAAATAACATTGCAGCACAACTTTTTTTTGATGTCAGAGGTATGGTGGGGAGTGAAAGACTCCCATATTGTATGTTCCATATCCCACCTACTCTTCCCTTCACCGGGGGAAGCAGCACTAACCAGAAATCCAGCAATATGGATAAACAAAGCACTAGTAAAGATCAGATTACCTACTGAAAGTAGGTAGTTACAAATTCTGCCTAATTCAAAGGCAGTGCTAAGATGCAGATTGTCTTCTTTTCAAAATAATGGCTCGTTCTCTCCAGACTTAATCTATAATACATCCTTTTAAGAGAAGCATCATCAGTTCAAAATTGCATCATCATTCCCTACCATTAGGTATTTATGCTAAACAACCTAATTTTGCAGTTCTAAGCAGTATGTTAGTGTCCTGGACATTCACAAGGGCAATTAAATTGGAAATAGTAGATTAGAAAGAGGATTTTAAGAAGTATATTAGGTACCTGCATTTTCTTTTTGATATTGACTTGATCAGATGGGCCATTTCTTCTCATTTCTAGTTTCGAAGCAACATCTTCTTTGCGAACAATTACTTGTTTTATTGAAGGACTATAAGTTTCCTTAAATCTTTGGGATCTGTATACATCAACACTTAAAAAAGGAAACACCACAAAGTGTTTCACAGGTGTGCCAAGCCTTTTTAATAGATACATAGATACGTATTATATATTGAAGTTTTCCAACTTGCTTAAAGGGCTTTAAAGAAAGCTTTCCATCAGCTGATTTTAAATTTAAGCAACAGAAAAGACTACACAATCTACAATACTACAATAAAGGCTGAGATCTTGCAAAACAGATTAATTTGTAGCTTAATTTTGAGTTTGAGCAGTATGCATCTTTAAAAGAGTTAAAAAAGCCAGTGTTTTAACTTGTACACTTAGAGAATCAGGGGTGGGGGTTGCATTTATTACCTGTAAGGAAGGTTGTAATCTTCTGACATAGAGCCAGTACTGTCTCCAGATTCTCCCCTGGGAACTCTAGTCCTTTGGAACTTCTCAGACGTCAGACTTACATCACTGATACTGCTACCTTCCCCTGTTGACTTAGAAGGAGAACCAAAGGCCTGAGGAAAAGAACACATTATATTACAGATATCTGTTCACATAATAATCTGTTTTCTCTCTCCTTTACTTGTTTTACATATAAGCAGTAAATTTGCTTAATACTATTTGAACAGATGATATTGTACAAATATGGGCATAGAGCAAGTTTATGTATTTAAGGACACTAACAAATTATCAGTGAGATGCCACCTTTAGTTTCCAAATCAGTACAGTTACATAATTTCAGCTCTTCAGATTTTGCATCAGCAGTCATAGCACTCATGTGCTATACTATTTACAGAGAAAAATAACTTTGCCTCGTTATGCTTCATCAGCAAAATACCACTTGTAACTTCTTTATTTGCCCAGATATCCTCATACTACAAAATACCACAGCTCACAAGCCAATCAGACATCTCTGTAATAAACAAGCCCTTCCCCACCTTCCCTGAATTCTCACCTCTGAAATAATAGATTCCACAAGAGGGGTTAACAGAGACATTGATGAAATGTTCAGTGACTCTTCCTGCTCATTCTCATCACTTTCATCTTCCAGGCTCATGCTCATTTCTTTCTTCAGCTTTTCTATGTCTGGACCATCCTCTTGAAGAATTTCAAAAATCTCATTTATCACTTTTGAGCTATTCATCTCATCATCCACATGTGTTTTGCCTTCATATACTTCACCTGAAGGGTGACATTTTTAAATACATTAGTAGCATCAAGAATCTCATAAAACAAAGCTAGAAGCAAATTCATTTTGCTTTACAAGCAAGCTTGATTAAAAAGCACTTCTTACAGTCGGGCATATAGAACCTAAAAAGTACACTTCCACAGCTATTTTAATATATAGTGTTTTTACATAAACTGCATAATTAATGCAGAAAGGAAATGAAAAGACACATTTTAGACAAATTTCACCCTTTTAGTTCAAATACATCTTAACTGCAAGTCCAACAGTAGAGCAGTCATTTCTGTCCTTTCCCAATGAACTTTTAATGTCAGCTTTTCAATGTTCCTTGAAGACTTCAGTGTCAAGAGAGAAGGCTTAGATATGATAAAAGAAGTTTCCTAATTTGTTTTATATAAACCTCATTACAAAGCACATGGGGGTCAGCAAATGGATGGTGAATTCTACACTGTCCTAGACAAATGGCCATAGAGAGCTAAATTATTAATATAATCTACTCAATACAAACCTTTTGGTTTCTCATCAATTTCTTCTAGTTTTGAGACAGACATTGCTTTTACAGGGCTCTTTGACTCAGCAATCTTCAGAGGACTGGGTTTATCAGTCTCTTCACATTTAGAAATACCTAAGGGGTTTATAAAGAAAAGAAGTATTATGTCTAGTCTTTATTTTAGCTATTGAATTTTAGAAGTTTTATTAACAAAAAGACCACTAGATTAAATATTCCAGTTAGCCACACGTCAGGAAAAAACATTAGAATACCCTCTACAACCTGTACATCTAAATTTCCATCTTATAATCAGAAAACTGACATCACAAGAACAATGCTGAAACCATAGTGAAGTCCTGACACTATAGAGAAAAAAGGGAAAATTTTAAAGACAAACAAAAAAAATTCACTACACAGAAACCACTGCATGCAAACCAAATTTTTCTAGAAGGTCATTTGATCTTACAAGTAAACAGGATACCAAGAGTGTTAAGCAAGTTCAGACTTTTTCCACAAAGATTCTTCTGCTCAGTAAGCACCAGAAAGGACGTCAGGAGCACATCACAATATTTTTCATGTGTCCTACCATAAGAATAAATATCAAAAAAGGATACTGACAAGGGAGGAGTTCCCTCCCATTAGATTCTAGTGGAAATCTGGATACTCAAGTACAGAATAGACTAAATATGTAATTGACAATTCTCATTCACTTCCCTGCACTTAACCTCCATTAAAGTTTGAAACTTAGGTATACTCATTGAAAAACAAAAATACAGTCTTGCCTTGCCATCCTTCCAAGTGGTATAGGAGTACAGAGTACTACTATAATACAAGAAGATTTAGATAAGATAATCAGTAACCAAAGCAGAGGTCCAGTTCCACACATCAGTGTTACTGGCCTCTTTCATTGCTCATGAATATCAAGTGCAGTGCTCCTGCCCAGCACTAGTGACAGGCAAACTGTGACAATTCTCACCTGAAGACTCCACTCTGGAAGACTTTACTGGCCTGTCACCTGCTGATGTGTCTTCTGATAATTCAAGAGCAGATACATCTGAACCAGGAGGATGTTTTGGACTAGCCTGAGATTGGCTTTCCTGGCAAGAACAAAAATAGAATGCATTCAAGAGGTAATGTTCAAAGTGACTAAAAAAACTACCAGAAAGAAACACATTTTAACATTTGCTAGGAAAAAGAAGTTGCCTATATTTACTATATAGTAAATCCCTATTTACTTATCTAAGATACATAGCTGAAGTAGTAAAGAGTAAATGTTTGCGTGAGGAGCTATTTTGCTTTTGCAGTTAGAGAACATAAAACCCCCCACACTTAACATCATCAAAAACTAAATAAATCAATTGGCTCAAAGCAGCATCCCTTGTCTTAGTTGGTTCTACAAGAGGTAAAAAAACTGATACTTGGTTAATAATCATACAAATCATTCCACAAGTGGTCTTGTGCAGACCAGGCACTCCCAAAGCACAGGTTTTTATCTTTTTTATACATTTCCACATCTAACTCTGTATTCAGCAAACGTTAAAGCAATTCAAAGTATCATATTTTGATTGATCACACATTACCATTTTAGCTTCTGGAAGCTTCTTCTTTGAACTGTCAGTTTTCTCCACACTCCCCAGATTGCCCCTATCAAATCGGCCACGAAGGCATGCAAGCTCTCTTTCACGTTCCTAAACAAATGAAGGGAAATGGGAGAAAAGATGACAGCTTTAAGATGTCACAACACTTCAGATTCCTCAGGTAGCGGCAAAACAGTAATAATCTTCCCCAAGCTCACAAGCTAGCTATGAATGTAATAAGTCGTACCTGTTTAAGCTGAAGTGCTAAACTGGCAGTAGAGGAATTTTCATTGAGAAGCCTCTCCTGGACTGTCCTTGTATTTCGGGTAACAATGAGTGTTCTGCACCCTGAAGTATTCGTAGCAGGTCTGTCTGCACTACGCTCTTGACAGTGCTCCCCAAAGCGTTCCAGGAAGGGCTTAATTCCTGATTCCCCTACAAGAACAATTATTTTGCCTTGGAAAAAAAACCCTCGAAAGTAAATAAATCACTGCACTTTCATATCCTGATGAAGGTTCCCAGTGAAGCAATTAAGCTGTCTCCTTTACAGCTCTTATTTCATTATACAAACTGAACCCAAAAAGCGAATCATAACAGTGATGTTAATAAAACAGTAAATCAAAGCAAGTAGATGTCTCTCTCTTACTACAGCCCATATGTAAAACACCAGTTATTTAAACTGGTTTGCCTTTTCCAAAATCCTCTAAAACCAGCCTCACTTATATCTTTAACAGAAATAAGCATTCTGTTACACAAAGAGAATATGTTGTTTGGCATCCACTCTGCTTGATTGAGCTTATCTTACTGTCAGCATATCTAAAACTTGCTTTTCTGGCCATCACTTTTAAGAGTTCAAGCTGTTAGTCCTGGTTCCTGACATAATAAGCAGCTGAATTTAAAACTGAGGATGTTCACATGTTTTGACATCAGTGCTATCACTGAAAATAAAGACATTGCAAAGTTAGAGTATCTATGTGGCAAGCTTTGATTTCTTCTAAATATGCAGGCTCTTAACAGTATATCAAATGGATACATATAGTATCCAACAATCTGAAATAAACTTTGAGCAATCTCAATTAATGTTAGGGTGCTTTTGCTCTTAAAAGTTACTAAAACCATATAATTTTCTGAAAAAGTTTTCCTACAGAACCCGATCCACCTTTTTTTAGGCATTTTTATAAAAATACACAGGGAAAACTGGAAGAAAATCCTCCAGTTTTGATCAAAAATCTAGAAATCTATATCCCCTGCAAAATACAGAATTTTAAATAAATTATACAAGTTACAATAATTATCACAGTTCTCATCAGCATTTTACTCAAGCTACAGTTGAAAATAGGTATTATCTGGTATGGTACCTTAAATTCTTAACAAATATGTAGTTTTCAACACAGCACACATAGGCCTAATTTGAATGAATATTTACTGAAGCTGAAAAATAGACTACCTGGTGTTGTGGGTTTACCCTTAGGTTCAAGTTGCACATGTGTTCCTTTGACTGGCTCTGCTTTGGACTGAAGTGGTTGAGGCAAAGCTGACTTCGCCGTTTGTGTATGCCCTTCAGTTTTCTGAGGGCTGCAGGGATACTCTGTTGGCCGTTGTTGTACTTCAGATTGTTTAGAACAGGGATCAGTAGCTCTTGAAGATTGTATTAAAATACTGTTTGGATCCTTAACAAGGGAAAAAGAAAAAAAAAGGAGACATATTCTCTCAAGCAGAAAAAGAATGAAAGCACTCTGCATAGCATACTATCACCTAATACACCTATTCCTTCAACCAAAAAAAGTCAAGAACAAGTGTTAAGCTTTAAATAGACTTTTTTTTTAAATCCAGTATTTCAAATGGTTTCAGCATTTGATTCCAGGTGGTCTTGCCTATTTCAGGTATTATCCCACATTTCCCTAGACAAGAACACACATGGCAAATATTATCATTGCAGAAACTGCATAAATTGAATAGTAAATGTCTAGTACTACTTATTTCATCATTCTGATTGAGTCTTCATACAGCAATAATATTTACAATTTCAGTCAATCAACTACATGAAGTTACAGAGTGAAACCCAGTATCTCTGTAACAAGTCCCCCTTCTGATGGTCAAGAGCAGCTATCAAGCACATTGATATCAACAAAACACATAAGTACTCTCATCTTTAAGTCTCAATAAAAGGAATTCTAAGCTGTTTCAGACCTGCTATTAAAAAAAGGGCATGTGGGATTGCAATAAGTATAAGTTGTAAATAGACTAGGACTGCTCAAACTAAATCTATAAATTCAGATTAAACAGTTATGTGCTAACATTTGTCTGCCCAATACAATACTTAAATAAGTTTTTAATCAGCAACTAAATCAGACACTCACCGCTCTCTTTGAGTTTGCTGGTTTATTAATAGAAGCCTCAACAAGCCTTTGAGAACAGGATGCAGCTTCCTGCTTTACACTGCTACTATTGATTCTAGCAGATGCTCCACTTGTAGTGGACAATTTGGATAAACAAGTAGTGCCAGGCTGTTCTTGTGCATTGTTTTGCTTTGCAGATGGATGACTTAGGTCATCTTCCCAGGAACCAATTGTAGCAGCAAGGTTAGCTAAACGGCCTCTTCTCCCAATAGGGGTTTCACTTGCCAGGGCATTGGATGTCTGCTTAGGTGGAGAAACAGACAGATCTTTTGACTGGAGAGGAGACAGAGGAACATATTCAGAAGGACCTGGAAAAAAAAAACATTTGTTTTGCTAATAAAACATACTGAGATATTGTTGCATCTTTTGCATTATTCTAGATATTATTTTTATCAAAAATTAGATATTCCTGCCATCAACAAAAATCAAACTACCAGCCCTAGAGGCATTGAGACTAAGAAAATTAAACATTTTTAATCAAGCAGTTTACTAATTTTATGTCAGTGCTGTGAGGAGCAAGGCATCAGACTAGTAGAGAAAAAAAAGTTTACAATTAAGCTGTTGACAACAGATTCAATATTTTAGGTCTGCCCCAGTATTGCCTTAGAATTCTTTAAGAAAACATTAGCCTTCCCACACACAAAATTATCTTCTAGTCAACATAATCATCAATGCAAACACAGACATCAATGGTGCTTAGCAAGCGAAACATACCCTCACTATCCCAGCAGCGCAGCTGTTCCGCCAACTTCTGTGTACATGTTTTGACTGAAAGGGCAGCAGGAATTTCTGACTTGGTGTTTAGTTTTACTTTCTCAAGAGGCTGAACCAATGAAGCTCTGTTAGAAGCAGTTTTGTGTGATTCTGAAGTCATCTGAGGAGAATAATGGCTTGTGGAACTTGGAGGAACTGGCTGTACTTTCTCTGAATTAGAAGTTTGAGTCTCTATATCATTAGGGCAGAGCCTTTTTGATGGTGATGGCTTTGTATCTGGTTTTACTGGATAAGTCAGAGTATTCAAGCAAATTAGTATTCAAACATTCTAAAATATTTTCTGACAACACAAAATTGTAGTGCAAATAAAGTTATGATTTATGAATATCCTGATATGCTTCCCAAAAAAGTGCCCTTCCCAAATCTACCAAGTACAAGATACTCTCTTTGGCATTACGCAATTATTTCTAAACAGCTTACTAATAACTTGGCACACCTGCTCTCAAGTCTAGCTAAACACGAGCTAGTCCTAGTGGCCAGATAAACTAAACAGTGGTCAATGCAGTTAAGATAAACTCAGTGTTTTCACTTTCCCTTTGGAAAAAAGATGAGACTGGTATCAAAGCAATCTTTATTAAACATGCTGCAAAATACCTTCATCACCTGGAAGAGGTGCCTGGTTACCGGTTTCTGCCAAAGGTTCTCTGGCCCTCTTGGTCTGCATTGTGGGTCTTGTCCCCATCTTGGGCCGCTCTGCCATTTTCCTCTGTAGGTTCTCTCGCCTGGCACGGGTTCTTTCGAGGAGTTTCTGAGTGGTCAATAAGTCATGTGTTACCAGACATTGCAGTGTGTTAACTGGTAACACCTCAGAGTAAAATATGTTGGAATTCTATTTAGCACAGATAGCCAGTAGGTTTCAAATTTCAGTCATTAAATCAACTATTGTCTCCAACTAGCCTGGCTCTGAAAGAAAATCAGACTAAAGAGACACAAATAATGGCAAAATTAAAGAGCAGCTTCTATATACTCCAAAGTCATCAGAAACATTGGAAAGTAATTTTTTTTAATCCTGAATCACCACATGACAGTCTTGATCTGTCAAGTCTTGCTAGCAGAGTTTTCTGGCACATTGCTAAAGCATCTGGTGAAGTCACCTGACTGGCACTAACCCTCTAACAAAATAAATAACATTGAAGCGATTGTCAAGAGTTTGTAAAAGAGTTCAACAAATAAAAGCATGGCTATCAATATTTTTAAAAAATTGCTGTTACATCTTCTAAACCAAAAGGTGAATTTCTTTGCCTCAAACTTAAAATTTAAGAATAGTATGATATTATACCTAGCTGTATTATGGTAAACAGCCTGTTTATTAATATATGTCCATACAGAAACACATATAAAGAGATACCAGTTATGCTACATAACATTCTTTTTCATTCCCTACCCACTGGAATTTTGAATACCCTGATTATGTTCCATATAAAATAGCTGTTTTAGTAAATGTTCAAAGTGATTCCTTACTTAAACTCAAGTTTAAAATAGGTTGTGGTTTGTTTGTTTTGAATATAGCATTTGTAAGTCATTATCACTCAGTTTGATCACATCGAAAGGATACTTAATAACTCTATCAGTCTAGATTTTAAGGTTGCTATCAGTCTAGATTTTAAGGTTG